TGCCGCCGAAACACGCATTCTTTGCCATCGCTGAAATGTAGTGTCCCAAGGCACGAATAAAGTGGTCATTCAGGTATGCAAGGAAGCTTCATTCCAACTATAACAAAAATAAAAGTAAAGGATACCAGCCCAAGGTTTGACAGTACAATGCTTTGAAACTACAAGGGGCGTTTAACAATATGTACAGAACGAAATGGACCTAGGTAACTACAAGTCTTAGAAACTACTAAATATAAATCAGAAGGGAAATTAATAAATGGTGTAAGAATGAATGTTGTTAACTGACCTGGAATGTGGGCCAGATTCTCGAAGCAGTTACGCAAGCACTTACGAACCAGTATATCTTTTCTCAATCTTTGGTGGCTTTGTTTACAATTATTAAACAATTAATGAGCTCCGAAGCACCAGGAGGCTGTTTATAACAACAGCAACAGTTGATTGGGAAGTTTTCATTCTTGTAAACTGTTTAATAAATGTAACCAAAGTCGTCAAAGATTGAGGAAAGATCAAGATTGAGAACGTTCGTAAGTACTTGCGTAACTGCTTCATGAATCTGGCCCCGTAGTCACGCTAAAAGAACAGTGCCATATCAAAAAATTATGAGATACACGAGACCCTGAAGAAAAGTTTCCAATTAAATGTCGTGTCGAATCTCTGACATCCATTCCCTGTAATATACTGTACTAAAAAGACAGAAAGAGTACAACAGAAAAATACCAACCAATCAGCCTAACTTACAGTACTGTAAGTTCACGGAGAAAATCCTAAGGGAGGGATTTTTTTCAGGGATATTCCTGCACGTGCCCTAAACTGGGTGGCCCACTAAGTGTTACATGTTTCTGTTTTACTTAGGCGTTATATGAGTATTTATGACTCTTATGTTCGCTTCATTAAGATTATGCCCAATGTGTTCAACAACTTTTTCTGCTCTCTTGAACCTTGTAACTGCACTGTGTTAATGTTCCTATGGTCTGTCGGACATTTCTCCAGTGCTGACATTTCCTCTCATCTTCTGGAACCTGTAAGCCTGTTTCCCATGCACATGGGTATCGAAGCCTGATGCGATGTAAGTGTACTTCTGTTGTTCTACTGCTTCCTTTCATCAAAATAAGTGGTTTGTAGTTTGTTGAATTTTTGTACCAACCTGCAGATCCTGATGTTGCAACTGCTGTGTTGTGGTCACTGTACATCAATGGGTGGTAATCATTCACCATTTCACAGTGCATGATTTTGTAAAATCAACACAACATGGTTTTTGTAAAAAATAAATCCTACTAGAATGGGTAAAGCAATGGTTAAAACAAAGACAAAAAGGTCATTTAAATTGGAAATGAATCTGACTGGAAATATGTGGTGAGTGGAGCACCACAAGATTCCATCTTCGGGCTAACCCTTGTTGCCATATACAGTACAGTACATCAATGACATAGATGAGAATATTACAAATCACATCAACAAATTTGCAGATGACACTAAAATCTATGGTACAGTAGGAAGCAAAAATTATATAGAGTGCTTGTTAAGAGATTTATATGAACTCCACAAATGGTCAAAACACTGGCAAATGCTTTTAAATATTGACAGATCCAATACCTTGCCCTGTGACAATGCACACCACAGATATCACGTCAACAATGCTAGCATGCAGGTGATTAATGGAGAATAATATGCAGGAGTTAGGATCTTCCAGTTTCAAATTCATCTGGAAAAAATTCTCAGAAACAATGGGGTGATTTTGATAAACCATCGGTTTCCTGTTCCCATTGAAACCACTGAAGTTTCACTATACTGTACCTGAATGGCAATCAGGTACATTCAGGTAAATTTAATGGATGCTAAACAATTGTAAAGTCCATCTTGATACAGTTAACTTTTTTCTGTGAAATCATTTTTAGTCAGCAGAATCATTTAACATGAAGAATCCTTATGACAGTAGTTAATTTTTCAGACACTAATGAACAAAGCAGAAAACATGATATATGTATATTTTTACATAATGATTCCTGATCATTAAAGTCATTTAAAACATAGTCCTTATATCATTGAAATAACAAAGAGAAAATCACTCTCACTCAAACTGGAAAGCTTCCTAAACAAATTTGGGAAGGAAGAAAAAGGGAAAAGAGGGGGGGGGGGAGAGGGTTATTTGTAATCAATGTAATTCCTCTTCCAATCAAGACCACCATATATGATGGTTTATCCACTCCACTTCCTCATAACCAATGAATGTCATCATCTGTAATTTGCAGTTTCCTGCTACTACCTTTAAACCTGTCATGCATTTGCTTTGAATTCAATTTTCAACCCAGTACAGGGTGTATAAATAATACTGTGACTGTGTAGCACGAAGAACTGCTGTAACAAGTTATTTTCTATAAATTACTGCTTCTAACAATAAAATTTTCAAAGCAAATTTCATTTACACTTCAGGTATTGAAGCATTACATGAGAATGTGTCTCATATTTCAGGTACTGAAATATTATATCTGAGAATATGTCTCACATTTCAGGTACTGAAACAGTCATCTGATAATGTAACAAACACTATGGCTGAAACGCTATGCATGTTAGTGGCTTTGTAAGAACACCAATGTTATGTACTCTCACAAACCCAATGTACCTTTTTGTATATAAATAAATAGAAAAAATTCACATTTTCGGTACTGAAGCATTATATCAGAGAATGTTTCACACATTGCAGGTAAATAATGCAGTTTTTAGTGTACAGTATTGCAATCTTAATACTGTATAGTAACAAAATACTATTATATTCTGATAATTTTAATAAGTCCATTTTTAAGAACTTACAGTACAATGAAACATACAAATATTATCTCTTTAGTCAATATACAATTTTAAAAGATAAATTATCAGGTACAGTAGCAGTTACTGCCTATTAGGGTATTTATAAAAAAAATATATATTTATTTAAAACTAAGAATGTTATTGAACTTGAAACTGCTGCTGGCTTAAGAGCTTTCCCTTCCCATAGCTCATATTACCCTACTAGTTTCCCCAGAATACAAAGAGCAGTTTGGTTAACTACCAGGTTCCCAATTACTGTAGGGTGAACCGATTAAGGATTAGTGCACAATGAACACTCCCTGAGCAGGGCACGAACCCAGACAATATCACTCGCAAGGCAAGTGTGTACATTTGCAAGTGCGTACAGTCCCTCTATACCACAAGGACTGTAAATTATACATTACTTGATCTTTTCCCAATACATTATGATGTTAATCCAATAGTTTCCTTCCTAAAGTATATTTTAATATCTAGCTACAATCAGGTATAGAGTTGAAGCAGAAAATCTTAAAAGCCTCAAAAACTTAATAATGAAGTAGAACATCTATACAGTAATGTGAACTACTGGTATTATGTTTTACTGATTATCTAATAACAGAAAAGTTTTGTTTAACATTTTCATGTATAAAAATATAGATAATTTAAACATTTTGATACGGTATGTACATGGCTACCAGTGTCTATAAAAGACAGAATAGACTGCAGATGCAGCCTACAGACCAATTTTAAAGTGTATATAAGGTATTAGTGAGTCTCAAGAAGCAGTCTGGTAGCCCAGTCTCCCTGACTGCCCCACCAGACCCTGACCAACACCCTAGGTCCTTACTGCTTAAGGAAGCCCTCACCACCCTACATAATGACTCTCACCACCAGCTGAGGCCATCACTGTCTTCTAAGTCTCTCACTATCTTTAGAGGCCCTCCCTGCTTTCCTAGGTCCTCAGTGCCTTCCGAGAATCACACTGCCGTCCGAGACCCCTACTGCCTTCCGAGGCCCTCATGACCTTCCGAGGACCTCAAGACCTTCTGAGACCCCTCAGGACCATCCGAGGACCTCAAGACCATCCGAGGCCCTCACCACCTTCCGAGGCCCTCACCACTTTCTGAGCTCCCCATCACCTTCCGAGGCCCTCACCACCTTTTGAGGCCCTCACCACCTTCCGAGGCCCCCTCCACTTTCCAAGCCCCCCACCACCTTCCGAGGCCCTCACCACCCTCCGAGGACCTTCCGAGGACCTCAAGACCTTCCGAGGCCCTCACCACCTTCCGAGGCCCTCACGCCCTTCCGAGGCCCTCACGACCTTCCAAGGCCCTCACGACCTTCCGAGTCCCTCACGACCTTCCGAGTCCCTCACGACCTTCCGAGGCCCTCACGACCTTCCGAGGCCCTCACGACCTTCCGAGGCCCTCACGACCTTCCGAGGCCCTCCCTGCTACCTGAGAGACCTTAACCCTGAATAACGTTAACCGCCACCTTAAGACCCTCACAGCACCCTAAGATAAGGCTTTTCCCCCAGTGTGTACACCTGACTATACACATCTGTCCTTCCCAACACATGTCACACAATTTCACTGCCAGCCGCAGCTGCGGCACGGCTTTACAGATTTATCCAACGGATCACACGAGCACACCACTGCATAAACATGGGAAAAATGCTTGAAAATAAGGAGTGACCGTACTTACTGGTAAAGGCAAGTCTTGACAACACTTGTGCTGACGTCCGTGACCTTGGCAGCTGTCCTCAGATGTCTGAGCCAGTCACGACGCCCCGACTCCTCTTTATATATTGCTAAGAAGGGTAACTAAAGCTTGATTAATATCATAGCATGTGTAATCGCCTTTTTTTATTACTAAAATAGCCATTGAATTGTTAGTGGATGCTGGTGATTAAACTTTCAATATTGATTGAATTTTATTTTATTTTTTTTTTATTTTTCACTTGATCTATATATATATTTTGATAAATGTATGCGAATAAATTATACAATTAAAAAGATTAAATGGTCAATTTATGACTTGCAAGTTTGTGAATGATAGAACGCCTATTGTTGCCGGGTTGACAATATTATACCAGAGTCACGCAATATATAAATCTGTAAGTAACACAAACACCTAAAAACATGAGCCTATAAAATCATAAAAAAACATATAATGTAAGACCTAGAGAAATCAGATGACTTACAAAGAGGCGATTAAATTATCGATTTTTAAAATAATGTCTTTGACTGGTATGTTACACGAGCCGGATTAAACAAATCGATGAGCGTTGCTTGTGTTGTGTGAGGAAGCTGTGCTCGCCGCCTTCATCATGCCTATGGAAGAAAAAGGTGAGTAGTAGCCTCTATTACGGACTTTTCTTAACTCTAGCAAATATATTACTTTGTCAATGACTGAAAAATCTCCAAGATTTCAAATGTTAGCGTCACGTCACTAGCTACTGCGCTCTTTCCGGCTTCACAATTTTGTGTTAGTTTTAATGGATGCATCAAGTTATTGCAAGTTTTGGTTCCTTCTCGATGGCTAGGGGACACCAGAAGTGTGTTGAGATTATAGGCTGTTGGGTTATGATTTTGCCATAAGGCATTCTTTAGCTTGAACTGATGCAGCATCTGTGGTAAGTTGTGCTTGAGGTCATGGAGAAAGATGTTTTCCTTTTGCATTTTTTCGTTTGTTGGGATGGTAAGGCATTGGCTAGGTCGAGAAGCACTTGATGTCACTGCTCTCCAAAGAGCCATGACTTCAAGTGCTCCTAGTATGCCTTTGGGAAGCAATTTTATTATTTCTTTTGTTAGAGACAGGAAGCTTATTAAGCTCTGCATAGGCCAACTACTAACTCTCTCCAGGATACAATGTGGAATGACCTTCCCAATCATGTTAAAGACTGTACCTCTCTCAACCAGGTTAAGATAAAAACTAAGCACTACCTAATTAACTCCCTGTAACCTACCTTACCCCTATAATATTAACCCATGTCTGTTATTTTTAAACAATGCTGTTTGTCGATGAAATTGTATTTTTGCTGTTTTTCTGCTATGTTCCCCCTTTTTTTTATTTTTTTATTTTCTCAACACATTTTATACTTTAATCTCAATTAGTATTAAGTTTTAGTCTTTAGTGTTTTTTCTGCCCGAAACGCTTTGCATAATAGTGGCTTTAGGCATTGTATGTACTAGCTCTATCTATAAATTCATCAATACTGTATTTGTATCACCCCTTGTATGTATGTACTTTACCTGAATAAACATTTGAATTTGAATTGAATTTTAATTTATCAACTGGTATCCAAATACAGTATTGCACAATTGCAAAGCTCTCCATCAATCTATGGCATTTTTCAGTCCTGTGGTTTAGTACCCATTTGCCATATGTTTATATTTATCTTGATAATAAAAATAACTGCTTGCTTTGCTCAATAATATATACAGTAATACATCAGATTCATGTGCAGGTTTTTGCTTCTATCCCTTTCTTATACAAAATGGGATCAACTGGAATGATGCGATGGCTATGGTAGTAAACAATATTCTAACCTGCAGTTGCTGGAAGTCCTTAGTGATTAGTGTGACATCACATCAGTGACATCATGGCTATCAGCTAACTAAGATGCTTTCATATTTTGCCAAACTGTTTGTTCAGCCAAGATAACTTGCAAAGGTTCTACTTGGATAGGCTCAAATGATGCATTGCTACTTGGATACAGACTCGAGGACTCTGCTATTTGTATACAGTACAAACCCAAGAGGGACTGTGCTTCTTGGGTGTTGCAGTGCAACTTGTAAACATGCTTGTAGGTTGCTGTGCTATTTCAGATACAGTCTGCTACAGTATAAGCTTAATATGTACTGTATTGTTATGTCATTATTTTCAGGTAAAGAATATGAGGAGCGACGAGGTCGAGGTCGTGGTCGAGGGAGGGGTCGGCCCAGAGGAAGACCAAAAGGCCCTCCAAGAGGGCTGCGTGTTAAAAAAAGAAATATGGTGAGAAACTGCACTATTGTTGTTTATTATATCTAATATATGACAACAACAATGTATTCTGCAAAAGTATTAAAAAAACAGTGTGTTGTATTAAGTAATTAGGCCAACAGCTTGATTATCTGTCATTGTTGTTGTATGGCTGTCTCCCTAGTTTTTTAATTTAAATTGTGGTCAGATTTAAATACTGTATAACAAAAATGATGTCTAACAGCATAGTTTCTTTATAGGTCTGCTTTTTCCAAGCCCACATTCTTGGCTAAGAATGAGTCTCGCTTTTTTTGTCTTTGTTGCCTTTTTGTAGGGGGGGGGGCCCCTTTTGTGTCTCCCAGAATAAAATCCTCCAGAATTTGGAGGATTCCGCTTTGAATCCTCCAGATCTTAGGTACCACATTAACTTTCAGCACATCCCTCTCCAGTTGGGCCTTGCTCACCATCTCCATTTAGGTGTTCTCTCAGTACTCTGTTTGCTGTCCAGGGTCTGTGCCACACAGTTTCCTGCCTTGCAGGGGGTGGATGTGTAAAGAGATATTATAGCAATATGTGGGATTGAACTGTTATCTCTAGACTCCACAGAAATTGAATTGTGGTTATCAGCTGGTGCTGATAACAATAGTGAAATATGGATTGGATGTAATGAAAGGAGTGCAGAATGAATCTTTCTGTTTGAATGAGTTTCAACTGTACTGTACTGTATTTGGAATATTTGAGGCTCAACTGTACACATTTTTTATGACAGATATTTATCTTCTATGATTAACAGATAGAGAGTGAGGAAGATGAAGAGGAACCAACACCAAAGGAGAATGAACCACCGAAGATAAAACAATGTAAGTCTGCCACACTATTCCTTCATATTCACATCACTTTGAATGTATAGTATACGAGAGAATGTCTGTGTGTGTGTGTCTGCAAAGTTGGAGGCAAGACACCTGGGGCTAGACTCTCCTGACTTTGCAGGGAGAAATGGTCTGGGGTACAGGGCAAACATTGGCTGGCCTAAGTTAAATGCTTTAAAAGAAATATCAGCACTTATACAGACCCCTCCTATGCCAAGTGTAAAATATTTGGTGTTATTGCCCTTAAGCCTGAGTGTTGGTGAAGGTTATGGGTAGTTTTCAGGCTTTAGGAAGGGTTGGTACTGTTGGGTGGTGGCAGAGAGGAGCACTGTTGGCTCTTAAGTTTTTACTCCAAGTTTTAGAAGTTTTTGATGTACAGTACTGTATAATAATTAAATATATAACAATGTTAGTTAAATTGTATTGCTTATGTCCTTAATCCCTTGTCCTTTTAGATGATCAAGACTGTGACATCTCATCACTGGAGGCTCCTACTTTTACTACCTTAGACCGAGGCCCACCTGCTCCAATGCTTCGCTTGTCTTGGGATCATCCAGTTAATCTGATTGGAGAAAAAGTACTTTCTCCTCGAATTCACATATGTGATGCATGCAACAAACCAATTCTCATCTATGGACGAATGGTAATATTAATTCCTGCATATTTTGTCTACCTGCCTGCCTTCCAATCTACCGACCTACATGTCAGCTAACCTACCAACATGTCTATATACCTTAACCCACCTACCTACCTATTTATTTTACTTGCCTACCTTATCTCCCTCTCTCATCAACTACATTATTTAACTGCATTTGTTGCATGACCACAATGTTACTTTGATCAGTTTTTATGACATGTACAGCCAATACATTTATGATGATGTAATATGTGTGGTAATGAGTGAGGATTATGAAGATTGCCAGTATTCATAGGATTGAAGATTGCAATTGGCAATATGAATTTCAGGAAATTGAGAATTGGTCCTATTTTTTAAATTAGAGAAATTCTTATTTTTATCATGTATGCTTAAGACCATCTAAGCTGTGTCTTCATTATGTTAGAACCCTCTTGGTTATAAGATATTAAATATATTTCTTTCACAGATTCCATGCAAACATGTGTTTTGTCTATGGTGTGCACGGAGTGAAGACCGAGTGTGCGCTCGATGTGGGGAGCGTGTGGCCAGGGTAGAGCAGACTGGCTTAGGCACAGTGTTTATGTGCAACTATACCATCAATAAGGCTGTTTGCAAGCGTACATACTTGTCCCAGAGAGATCTTCAGGTAACATTTGATGTACTCTTATATATTTTATGGAATCAGAATAAGTACAGTTTTCTTGACTGGGGTAAATTCAGTGGAAATATTAAATACATATAAGCATGTGAGAATGTTAACTGGTAAGGAATTTTGTTTAAAATAGATTGAGAGTACTTACTGTACAGCACTCTGAAAGTCTAATGGAAAAAATTTCAGGAAATTTTTGAGGACGAGAAGGAAAGAGGTTTAGAAAAGGATTTTAAGATATGGTGAGCGTATATAAGGAAACAGGAATTGTATGTAAATGGTAAAATGAGTACTGGTTAGAAACAAAGCTGAGCAGAGGCACTTTGTTAAGAGAGGATGAATGTTTGATATTAGTGCACATGACAACTTTAAAGGAACATAGGACATTGTGTTCCTTTAAAGGAACATTGATGTTGCTGTGGCTAGAGTAGGATGATGGTGGTGATTCTCATGGTGGTGTTTAGTGTAGAAGATTTGGTGCATGGAGGAATTGAGAGGTGTCTTACTGAATATATGCAAACCTTATTTGCTTTTACTATTCTCTCCATGTTCATGTTATGCGATAAATGTGTATCCCCATCACTTGAAGTGTGGATAAGGGTGCAATGATGATGAATATTTGTGAGGCTATACGACAATTGTTTTGAAGTCTACATACGCTTTCTCTACCATGTAGAGTAACATGTATCACAATGTTAATTAAAGGCATGCAGGAAAAACAAGAAATATGAAGGGAGAGGAAAGAAGCAAGAGGCAGGAAGAGAAAAGAAATGAAATGGTGGGAGAGAAAAGAAAGCAGGAAGGAAAAGAAAAGGAAATAAGGGAAAAAAGGAGGGGAAAAGAAGTGTGGGGGAGAGGGAAGTACAAAGAGTTAGGAATTTAGATGCAGGGAGAAAGATGGAGAGGCAAGGTAGGACAAGGTAAAGAAGTGAGAGGTATGGAGGAATAATTGTGTGATAAGAAGGGAGCGGAGGTGAGCTATGAAGTGTGTGGACTGAGAGGCAGGTGAGGAAAGTGAGTAAAGAATTAAAAGGCAGGGGAAAGAGTCAAAAAGTAGAATGCAGAGAAGAGTATATGAAGAAGTTATAGACAGGGTGGAAGAGGTAAGATGAGTTTTGATGTTAGAGCATATATTTTAAATCACATTGGTACAAGTGAATTTTGTGATTGTGCTGAACAGTGAGCCATAAATATAGAATTATTAAAGAAATTTTAGCAGGATTGTTAAATTAGAAAACAGTAAATTTGTGATCAGTTATCTTGACTTTTTATATAGGCTCACATTGATCATCGTCACATGAAAATGCCTGGAGCTCCTGGTGTGCCTAAAGAAGACATGAAGGAAGAACGTCTAAGTCACCGTGACCCTAGAGGGGAATGTCGAGAATCAAGAGGAGACCCAAGAGGGGAGGCTAGACAAGATCCACGTTCCATGTCAGACCCTAGAGTTGGAAAGGAAGGTTATGAACACCGCGAATCATATTCTTCCTCTCAGTTTCAACGTCAAGGGTCTGGACAGTTTAACAGTGGTCACACACAGTCACATAAGTCATCCTCTACCCATCAAGGAGGATCACATCATATATCTATTATTCCGGTCATGACCACAGCACGGACCAACCTCATTACAGTCCCACTTCAGGATCCCCCTGAACACCCATCCCACTCATCTTTCCAGCACTCTGCTCCGTCTCATCAAACACCCTCTCATCCCCCTCCTCACTTGCCTCCAACTCATCCCCCACCTACTCATACATTCACTAGCCCTCCTCCAGCTCACCCCCAGCCTCCTCCAACTCACTCCCAGCCTTCTCCATATTCTACATCATTTACCACACCATACAGTAATCAACAAGCCCAGTATACCTACCCTCCTAACCCTGCAGCTCCTCCCCCACCAAACCCAACTGTTCCACCACCACCATACTCAAATGTAGCCCCCACTGTTCCACCTCCGACTACATATGGGAACCGGTCTCAGTATGAAGGGCAGTATGCAACAAATACTCAGTGGTCTACACCACCACCACAAGCCCCACCTTCTCATCCACCTGGGCCTCCTCCCCATCATGCACCTCCACCTACTACTCAGTCCACACAGTATTACAGAAAAAGCTTTTAATGCCTTTCACTCATAACAGCTGATATAAGGAAGCTGGAGTATATGTAGTTCTACATTACATTAAAATATTGATTTGAATACTATTAACACATGAGCGAGGATTTTGGAAGTGCATTGGTGTGACAAAAATGGTCATTGCCAATGTTAATGGCCTACAACAACTGGTTCTCCTTACTCCTATGGTGAAAATTAAATGAGACTGTAATGAATGGAATTTTTGTGACTTTTTCATGCCCTTTATAATGTTAAGAAGGTAGTAAAAGCAGAAAATTTGTTGTTCTTTAAAGCCATTTGGTACATCATTAAGTTCATAGGATTATGATAAATTCTGCATGTTGCATTTTCAACTCTGCAACTTGTCACACTTTCTAGTCAACTTGCCTCGTATTTATTGTGTAATAACTATGCATTTATACAACAAAATACACAGTAGTTACAATTATCACCAAACAACCTGACTTAACCTACCTTATCTATTTTACCTTTTGCTCATGTGGGGCTACTGTGTAATTTTTGTCTTCTTTTTTTTATATAGGTTAATATTATGTAGTCAGTGCTTATTTTGACTATTTCTTGCAATATGCAAAATTATTATATAATAAATATGGAAAAAGTTGATGAGAAAGTGTGGCAAGATGGTGTACACAGAATTTGCAGCATGCAGAATCATTCTAATACGGATTGCAAAATTCCAGTGGAGAAACCCTACCTTCGGGAGACGCATCAGGCATCTGAGCACCACCATTGCCAGATCACTCCAAACAGAACAGATCACTCCAAACCGTGAAAAACCAAGAAGCAGAAATGCAACAAAACAAGCAATTGCTTTGAAAAAATTAGAGACCCAGAGGTTACAGGGCATATGATTGTTGCTGCAGAGTAAACAAGCAACAAGACACGTAGAGAATGAATCTGAGCAAGATTTGAAAAGTGTATTCTAAGAATTCTGATTGGCGTAGGTTTTAGAGAGACTACCGAGAGGTGGGAGGAAATATTAAAAGGTGCAAGAGCACTGGAATATGGTAATGCAGACTTTTTATATCTGGAGTGATTAAAGAGGAGTCCCGGGCATTGAAAATTTTGTGAATGAAAATCTTAATATTTTTAATTTGTAAGAAGATAATATGAAAATATAAAGATAAGGTTAATACTGTAAGGCCAATGTTATACTGTATCTACCACCATATTTGTGCCCAAGGAGGTACAGATAGTTTGTTAGTTGTTGTGCAATGACTGTTGATTGTGTGCAATAATAAGAACTTGTAATTGAGTTTGGAGCAAATATAGTAACAGAGTCATGTGACAGTAAAATGTGGAAGCATACTTATGGTTCTGCCATATTATTTTTGTACAAGCAATTTCAAATTTTTGTACCTATGCCTCAATGTATTAGATGTAGTGTATGACCCTTGTCCTGAGCTAGGATAAGTGACTATTCCTCTTGGATGGGTTAGCATTGAAACCGGTGACTTTCTGTAAGAGGCTGTTGGTTTTGGTGGCACTGTACTCACACTATCGGCCAATGCTTTCCTAGTAATCATGTGACTCCTAAACTATTAGCCTCTTTCAGTAATATTGCTGTTTCTCCACAATGCTCTACCATTCTTTTTTTTTACTATTTTTTTTGGAGGGGAGGGGCTTCCTCCACCCCCTCCTGGTGGCTTCCTGAAGCTCTTCTGCTGATATAGCTCTATGCTAAAAGGTAACATCAGTTGCAGTAGGTCTATTTGGCCTTCTGAAGACCAGAGCCAGAACCTCCTCCCCTAGTAATCTTCGTTTTCTTTCTCTGGTTAGTTTGGAAAGTCACTAGGGGGGGCGTCTCCAGAAACCCAGGGTTGAATGTGATAAAATGACTCTAGTAGATCCCTGGTGGCTCCCTGATTTCCTCCCTCCCTTCCAGGCTCATTGGTTCTTCAGCTTCAGAACTGAGATGGGGGAGACAGTTGAGGGCTGCCTGGTGGTGGCAATCAGTACTAATGAATTTCGAGCTAGATTGAGTGACTCCCCTGTTCTGTGTGAATTGTTTGCAGAGTTTAGCAGTTTCGAAACCTTCTGTGAACCCTCTAGTTGTTTGTAAAACTTTGCTGACTTTCTGAATGCTTTCCCAGTGGGGATTTGTCACTTGCTTCCTGTGGCTCTGTGATGGCGGAGTGGGGGGGGGGGGTCCATATTCTGGTTTCTGGCAGACCAAACAGAACTTCCACAACTGATGTGACCTTTTAGCATGGAGCAATCTCAGCAAAATAGCTGCAGGGAGCCACTAGGCTATTCCAGAAAGAGGCGTTTCATTACATTCAACACTGGGTGTTTTTGGGTCTGGGAGTCAATGTTGCTATGACTCAGCCTTTGGTGGATTTATTGTGTAAATACAAAATTGCCTGAATGCTTTTTGGGTGTTTCCAGTTATGAAATTAAATTTTGCTTCTGATATGTTGTATCTGAATATTTGTAGGTTTATACAGCATATTGCTGATTATAAAAGGTTTCTCCTCAACGATTGTGGGTACTGAGTGTGACAATACAGTACAGTATCTACATATTAACATTGATATCTTCAATTTGTTATTTAAGTGTCTATAATGCTCTACAATTATTTTGAGTGAGCTATTCTATACAGTACTTGGAGTAATAAAACTAGTTGTGAATGTATATTAACACTGATGCAATGTTCATTATTAGTGGATTTTAGAAACAAGCCGTTCGTGCTGATAAGAATATTACTATCATTTTAGTACAGTATCTTAATTTGAAATTGAATATCTCAAAATGCAGGGAAACATATAGCTGTTGCAAGAAGTATGGAGAGTTGAGGTCTGTGACTGGTGTATGGCATCTGTGTTGTTGCTAACTTGGTGAACCTTTTGCCACACTAATGCTTGGAGTCTCTTGCTCTGGTGTGGTGTTTCATGACGTGTGTGCCGCAGTGTTCAGTGTTACTTCCTAGGAATGTCCTTGCTGATAATTGTATATATATATAATAGTAAGGGAATTGGTGATGTCCTCTATTTGTTATTTTAACAAATGCATCTTTGTTATTAAGACATCAACTATAATTTCAGATTTTTTAACAAATTTTGTATTTGTCATATAGAAATATATTTTGATGGTATTGTACTGTATTTATAATACATGAAATGAGAGTAATTGTTATCTTTTGTTTTTATTCCAATTTCAGTTAAAAACAGGAACAAATTATTGGAATGCTCATTTGTAAGTGGCCTGAGGGTGCACTATATTCACAAAAGAAAGATGTTCATTTCTGTGGAGAGCCCCGTCGGCTTCCCAGAACTATACCGGGCTGATATGAATGTATTAGACCATGACATCAATCAATTTTAAATGGAGTTCTAAGCCTACCGGAGACCATGAGCCAGAACCTGGCCCCCTCAGAGGCATGAGGAGCAATGGCCTATTGAAACCCCCATGTGGTTGAAAGCATTCTATGTCTGCCATCTACCGGGTTAGGCACCCAGAAAGGTAGGCGTCCCAAAACAGACCCCAGCTGGTGAAACATTGTTATTGAAAACCGAACTGCTAAGCAGAACTCTCCAATCGAAAAACAAGCAAACAAGCATGACATCACACATGCCGCTGCACCGCCTGTCTGCGCAGCTCCACCCTCCCTGGGAGGGGGGGAAAGGGGGGGGCCAGAGACCGCTATACTGGCTATCCAACCCCAGTTCTGAGGCTGATGTGTTGAGTGGTGGTTGTTCGACTCTGGCTCCTGTCTCTGAGCAATGCTGTACCTGGTGGTGGTGTTCTGTGTTGTGGTGTGAGAGCCAGGAGTAATTTCACGAGTACTGGGGCTGCATGCGCCTAGAATCTCCTTCCCTAGGTGCCCTGTAAGTACTGCTCTTGTGGCTTAGGGTTGCCATCTACAAGTCGCTCAGGGGACTACCTCTGAAGGGGCTTTTGCTGCTCGGTGATCGCCCGCCCTTATGTTCAGCTGGGGTTTTTATAGCTGCTGTTTGCCTTTGGGTGGGAGGTAGTGTCGTCACTGGTAGGGGTGTAAGGTACTGTGCAGCTTTTCTTATAATATCATAGCGGCCAGCTCTGTTCCCCTGGGGACGTTGTACTTTTGCAAAGTTTTTATTTTCTTTTTCTTTTTGCCTGGTGGAATGTCTGCTCCTTGGTCACAGTTCGCCTTCTGTTATTCGAGTTGTTCCTCGCTAGGCCCCCGTGCTTGTACACGTCGCAGGGGTTCAGCTTTACTTGCTCTCTTGGTAGTTTTGGGTGCCGGTTAGCAGTACCTTGCCTGGGCTTCCCTTAGCAGTCAACCTAAAGGCCCTGGAAAACCCCATTGGGGCTCATTGGTCCAATGGATGTGTCCTATGCATCCCATCTCTCTTCGTATGAGTTTGAAGGTTGCTCTGTCCCCTTGCCTCAGGGTGACACTCACTGTTTTTGCCTCCATCATGCCGCCTGTTGGGTCGATGATACCTTTGACCCAGAGTCCTGCAAATGGTGTTCGCTGTTGGTTCTCCAGTTCACCCAGTTCGATAATGCTTACTGTTGACAGGGTGCAGGCAGCATCGACGTTGCATGCAAGGTTTAGGATGCTGTAACACGCCCGGTTGGTTGCCTTTCTGGATGCCCTGTGGCTGCCCTGCTTTGGTTATAGGGACCTGGACTTGGGGTCGTTAGTCGCTTTGACTTTGGTTTTGTCCATGCTCCCTCGTCCTTTCCCTGTTGCTTGTCCTACTCCTTTTTCCCTGCTACCGGACCCCAAATGTCTGAGGATTTTGAAGTCGGGGCTGGTGTTTAGCTTGTGATGAGACTCGGGCAGTTTCGGGGCCTGCCCCATCCTGTTCGGTGATGGAGGCATTCGAGCCAGCTCCTCCTGCCGGGGCTTTTAGGTTATCTTGAGATGATTTCGGGGCTTTATAGTGTCTCCGCGGCCCGGTCCTCGACCAGGCCTCCAACCCCCAGGAAGCAGCCCGTGACAGCTGACTAACACCCAGGTACCTATTTTACTGCTAGGTAACAGGGGCATAGGGTGAAAGAAACTCTGCCCATTGTTTCTCGCCGGCGCCTGGGATCGAACCCAGGACCACAGGATCACAAATCCAGCGTGCTGTCCGCTCGGCCGACCGGCTCCAAGCCAGACTCCAAGGTCTGACAAGTGGGCTCCCTTTTTCCCAGCCTTTTCTTCAGGGGTGGAAGGTTTGAAGGACTGCTATGCTCCGGGTCGTGACATGGACGATCCCGGGGCTGGGGAGGAGTTGTCTTGGGAAGCTTGGGCCCTGTTTGACTCCGCTTTGGTGTTGGTATTCTCGGCGTGGGGTTTGCTGTTACAAGTTTTCTTAGTTTTCTGGAGGAGTTTTCTTATCCCCCTTCACTGTACAAAATTGATATGGGTACAGCTCCTTCCCAGGTTTGGTTCCGGGTTCCCTTGTGTTCCTCAGTCCCTTCCTCCTGGAGGTTTTCGGCCTCCCGCATCCCACCTAAGGAGGGCGTGTGTTGCTTTGGCGCTTTCTCGCATTTTAGATGTCCAGTCTCAGAACTGGGGTTGGATAGCCGCCACGGGGGTCTGGACCCCCCTATCTGCACAGGGGGAAGCTGTGCTTACAAGTCATGGGTGTTTGCTTGTTTTTTGATTGGGGAGTTCTGCTTAGCAGTTCGGTTTTTGGTGGCAATGTTTCACTAGTTGGGGTCTTTTTGGGGATGCCTACCTTATTGGGTGCCTAGACCGGTAGATGCCAGACAGAAGTCTTTCAACCACATGGGGGTTTCTTTAGGCCATTGCTCCTCGTGCCTCTGAACGGGCCCAGGTTCTGGCTTGTGGTCCCTGGTAGGCTTAGAACTCCATTCAAATTGACTGATGCCATGGTCTAATACATACATATCAGCCTGGTATAGCTCCAGGAGCCTCCATATATATACAGTACTGTATATATACACACTGAATACTGGTATACTTGGTCATGATAGTATTTACACTCCTTATTACACAGGAATAATTATATACTATAAATGAAAGGTATTTATTAATATTGGAAATCACTAATACTGTATTTTATTATTACTACAGTACTTGATAATAATCGAGTTACACAATCAAATCTTGAATTTTTTATTTTATTTTCAACTAGCTAGTTTTTATAGTTACATTCATGCCAAATAAAATTAATCATTTTATATTACCGGTAATTCATTCATAATTCAAGCCATCTACTGAGGGCAAAAGAAGTTATGAACATGGTAATGAGTTTACAAAATTAAATAGTAAATATAAAGCAGAGTTTATATAAGAAAGGGGAAGAGAATCTGAAATATCCTTTCTGTAGCCACATGCTAGTGTTTGCGGGACACCTATATATGTACAGCATATACAGGTTTGTGAAGCACTTGATATCTTATACAACTGCTATTGTTTTGTTTTGTCCTGAAGGGCGAGTTTATTGGGAAGTGTTACTCATGTGTTGAGTCAATATACTGCCATATAGCAGCATGTACAACACCCATCGGTAAGAAGAAAAACCCACAAGGATGTTTATCCAGTTGGTTGTACCTAGACACAGCTGTGGCTTGGTTAACTGTCTCACATGAACAGATTGTCAAATAAGAAACTAACATCTTGCAGCCATCAAGTTTACATTATCTTACTAGTACCAGAAAACAAAAAGTGTTTTTCTAACTCAAACAATATGAGATTTATTGTTTAGCAATCTCTCAAGCAGTGGTCCAGATGCTGTCCTCTCATCCTGCAAATTTTAAACCTTGTTTGGGTCAGCTGTCATTTCCATCCTGAATCTCCATGAGTACTTTTATTCAACATAAATTCTTATTGTTATAGGTTTCCTCCATTGACCACCACTTCTTCATCCATAATGATGGACATTGGGTACATTGCATCAACGTACAGATTAACTGACTTGCTCATATAAATCTTCTTTCCTTGGCTATCTTTTTCATGGTGCTGTTGTCTTATGATACAGCAGCCAAGACATCTGCTCATTTATTTTCATAGATTACATCATCAGTAGGAATCCACACAATCTTGATCACCCTTCCCTGGTTGGATAGCATTTCCACAGTTCTCTTGATTTCAATTATTGTCCCTCTGTTTTCTGTCTGACATTTTCTAAGGCTCTTGAGTTAGCGCAGATCACTGCTTTAGATATCTCAATACATAACAATGTCAGCGAGGTCAACTTGCACTGAGGAAACAGGGTTTTCAGTCCCTTGGTATTTCACTATTTTCGTTTTGGAAAGCATTATTTCTAATTAGTGTATGTTGCTCCAGCCCTGCCATTAGTAGGATTAGCAGATTGTCTCATTTCTTGGGGTAGCATAGTAGACTATAAATTGTCATCCACATTTCCGTGGAAATAAACGTTCCATTCACCTGGGTTGTATGGGTCTCGAACCCGTCCAAAGCTCTATCAAGTTATAAGACTATTCATAGCCCAGTTGATAGAGCTTTGGTCTCACACACATGGGGTCCAAGGTTTGAGACCCATACAGCCCAGGTGAATGGAAGGGTAGTCACACAGAATACTGGTGTACTTGGTCATGATAGTATTTACACTCCTTATTACACAGGAATAATTATATATATTATAAATGAAAGGTATTTATTAATATTGGAAATCGCTAATACTGTATTTTATTACTACTACTGTTCAGGAAGCTATATGCCAGCATCCATTCTTAATTGCCATCTCATTTATTTTCATCTTTTATGTTTCTTCTGGCGAGTAATAGATACTAACAAGTATCCTCTACACTTCCCCATATCCTTACTCCTATATGCCAGCATCCATTTTTATTACTCAGTTGCTGTATCTACATGCTCCTCCTTCCATTGGGAATGATTATAAATAGAAAAAATGGTCATTTTATAAATAGAAAACCTAGTCTATATAGTTTAAATTTTTGCATATAGAAAGAGGTTATCATTCAAACAGTCCCAACCATTGTCCATATAAAGTATCAAGGCCCTACTCCCGCGCCAGCTTGGAAGGGTTACAGTGAGTAATGGTGGTGTTGGTCACTTAATAATTTATTAAGCAGCTGCACGCCCCTGCTGCACCTTGTAAATGTAATGGCATGTTGTGTGAGCGTGCTGCGCCGCCCCATGCAAGGATGCCAAAGTTTACAGCCTTCTTGCACATTCTTTGATGTATGCTCTGTAAATGAAACCAAAAATCTAAAATACAAAATGTTGTTAAGGCAAGACATATACATGTATATAATAGCTCATACATAGGTTTGCTGCCAGAGCATGCAGATATTTGCCTTTAAAATTATTAACCCTAATTCCTAAACGTAAAATGTTTGGTTATGATTAGTTGAAGTAACACAGTATTATAATTATATTCTCTGAAAGTTTCTAAGATCAACCAGTAATATGGACCTGCATTCCCTTACCCCCCCCCCCAATCCTCCTTGGAGAAATATTTCTTGCCCGAGTACCGTATATGTTATGGCTGAGTGCACACTCACTCTCTGCCCTAGATACACGTCTCGTGTCTATGTACCTAGATAAATAGGCTCTCCTTACTTGAAAAGCTTGTAGCCATAAGTCAATTAATAATATACTGTATATATATATACTGTACGTAATATATGATATTATGTATCGTCATTTATTAACCATTAATTAGCTATCTAGCTAGATTTAAGAATACATATTAAAAGTTAATTGGAGAGGATTTGTATTTTGTCATAAGCATTACCGAAATACATTATCATTAATGTTAGTATTGTATTATGAAAGTAAAAAAATTATGTAAGTGTAGTAGATCAAACGAGTCAGTAGGGTTTTCAACACTGACGTTAATTTTTCCCAAATAAATATTTTACACGTTTTTTGCAAATCAATAGCTACGAAACATTAATTTTTTCATCGGTTTAGATATTTACGTGACGCGCAAAGCCTAGCAAACTAAAATGAGCGATAATACCAGTGAAGGTTCGCGATAAGGAATGCGAGTGTCGGGAGGGTTGGCAGACGTGGCGGGGATGACAATGTAAACAAACAGGGCGAGAGGCGGCGGCCCCGTGACTCAGCAGTCCTCACTCTCTCTTACACGACTCCCTCACTCGTTGCTGCTCCCTCACACACACACACACAGACCTCTGAGGCTGCTCTCCCCCTCCCTCTCTTACACGTCTATCACTGCTCCTAGTAATGGAGAGGAGAACTGTCAAGGTAAGTCTGTCATGGTGGTATGAGATGGGGTGCATAGAGTAGCTGGTGTGATGTGCTAGCAGTACTCATGCAGCTGGTGTTGGTGGCTGGAATGTGTGTATATGCAGCTGGTGTTAATGGCTGGAGTGTGTGTGCAGCTGGTGTTAATGGCTGGAGTGTGTGTGCAGCTGGTGTTAATGGCTGGAGTGTGTGTGTGCAGCTGGTGTTGGTGGCTGGAGTGTGTGTGTGTGCAGCTGGTGTTAATGGCTGGAGTGTGTGTGTGCAGCTGGTGTTGGTGGCTGGAATGTGTGTATATGCAGCTGGTGTTAATGGCTGGAGTGTGTGTGCAGCTGGTGTTGGTGGCTGGACTGTGTGTGTGCAGCTGGCGTTGGTGACTGGAGTGTGTGTGCAGCTGGTGTTGGTGGCTGGAGTGTGTGTGTGCAGCTGGTGTTGGTGGCTGGAGTGTGTGTGTGCAGCTGGTGTTGGTGGCTGGAGTGTGTGTGTGCAGCTGGTGTTGGTGGCTGGAGTGTGTGTGTGCAGCTGGTGTTGGTGGCTGGAGTGTGTGTGTGTGCAGCTGGTGTTAGTGGCTGGAGTGTGTGTGTGTGCGTGCAGCTGGTGTTGGTGGCTGGAGTGTGTGTGTGTGTGCAGCTGGTGTTGGTGGCTGGAGTGTGTGTGTGTGTGCAGCTGGTGTTAGTGGCTGGATTATGTGTGCAACTGGTATAGTTTTGATATTGTGATGTATGCATACTCAGGGAATGTGTTTCAGTTCTTTGGTTGCTCCTCTGAACCTTCAATTTGGTTTGGTTTCCCATTATCAGGGGACAGAAAGCCTGTTAAGCTTATTGAGGTCCCACTAGGCTAAATACTTTCCATTCCCAAAATGCATCTCACAACAGCTCTAACTCCTGGGGGTACCTATTTACATCAGCTGAAAGAAAATGTTCCCAATTGTCTCTATTCTATCATGGGAACTGAATCTCAGGATTTTTTATTGTGAAACGACTGTGTTTATCACTGCACCAGAGGACATATTGCCCAGTGTACAGGATTAAGAGAATATTGAGATCTATCACATCAACATTTTAAGCTGTATATGGAGTCAGTCTCCACCATTTCAGTTCCTAGTTCCTAAATATTAGGTATGTGTCTTCCCTGCATATTCCCCATAAGAATCTTGTATGTTACTGTCATGTCTCTCCACACACACTTCTATCTTCCAGCAACTTGAGTGCTAAATAGTCTTCTTAGCCTGGTGCCGTCTTTTGATAATTACTTTCTTCTAGTGACTTTGAGATTTAATTCCTTTCATATGAGCTCTGGGACTGGTCTGGTAGCATACCTTGGACTTTCTCAATCATTGTTTCATGTTTGACAATGAAAATTCCATGCTGGCACAGCATAATCCAGGATGGTCTAACAAATGTTCTCACCTAGTAGAACTAGCCAAGTTGTGCTTGCTGGGGTTGAGCTTTGGCTCTTTGATCCTGTCTCTTAACTATATGTTAACTGGTAATTACCAAAGTAATTACCTAAAGTGGTAATGTATGGGTTCCTGAGCCTATTGGGCTCTTATACTGGTGTATGGAGTCTTCCTCCACCATATTACCTTCTAATGCATTCCATTTGTTAACTATGACAGAAGCAACATCTCTACTACACACTATTTTCATCACTGTAGTCATCTTAACTATAGAACTATCATCACTAATCTTGATTAAAGAAAACTATCAGCACTATAACCAGTTTAGCTACATACAAACTTCAATGCACTACACTCCACATGACCATCTTCATCACCATTTTTACTATTTAATGTCTTCATCACTGTAGCCATCTTTGCTACCATTTACCCTATCTACACCCATCATCATCATCACTACCTTCCCTCTTTTTCACCACCTTTCCTCTCCTTCACCATTTTCCTCTACTACCACACCTCTCCTTTACTAACCTCTCATTCTTTCATCACCTTTCCTCCTCATTCACCCTCCATCTCCACTTTGTTTCACCATCTTCCTTCACTACTTTCCCTCTCCTTCACCTACTTCCCTCTCCTTTACCTACTTCCCTCTCCTTCACCTACTTCCCTCTCCTTCACCTACTTCCCTCTCCTTTACCTACTTCCCTCTCCTTCACACATTCCATATCCTTTACCACATTCCCTTACTTCATCATTCTCCCTACATCACTGTTTTCATCAACACACTAATATTTAATCATCATTTAAGGTAAGGTAATTACAAAAAAAAGTACTAAGCCATTACAACTACTGTATATAGCACTTGGAAGAGAGATGAGGATAAGGATTTAGGATTGGACAAAGGGAAGAAATGGTTGCCCAGCCACTTGAATGGTCGGGAATTGGACATGGATCTGCAAGAAGCGAGACCGTCGTTCTTACCGTCCAGCCCTTAATCATCATTATAAAATAATATACTGGATGAATATTACTGAGGATTGATTCTGGCTCAGGTATTTAGGAAAATTGGAAATTGCTATAATTTGTTATTTTATGCAAATTGGGGGATGGGGGCAAGGGGGAGGTGCATGTGGGTCAACCCCGAACCCACCTATGACCATTCTTGAACAACCACCAGCATCCTGCAAAGTTTGATTAGATTAGCCCCAAGCATCACATCTGGCCATCTGCTTTGAGGAAACAGACATTTTCTTTGATGTACAGTACAGTATGTGTTATATAAGGTCCTGAATGATTTCTTATTCAGATCTCTAAAATGAGTTCTTATGTTGCCCAACCTAGCATATATGCACTTGATGACATTCATTTTACGTGGGCACAATTTTAGTGTGAGATCTATCTCTGGGTCTCTTTCTGTTAGGTTTGAAGAGAGTTTTCTCTACCTCTAGGTATCTTATTCCTGCCTATTCCCAGCACACATCTTGATCACTTTGTATAGTACTTGCTTGAGTTAGTCAGGTTGTCACTATAGGGATTATTCTTTCAAGTTGTTCTGGTTATCATATAGTTTCTTGCAAGATTCTGTCTGGTCACACAGGTTTAGCCATGTGTGACTGGCAGGTGTCTCCTCACTTCATCTCTAGTAATCTCGGTGTTCTCTAGTGATGTTCACCAACATGGCAACCGGAAGCCAGAGTTACCAGGGAAAATGCCTTGAGAAAGCCGTACCCCTCACCTTTTAATTATATCAGAGGGTGAGAGTACGGCCCTGAGGAGTCAGTGCCTTATGCTCCTGGGAGCTACTAAGATATAATATGGAAAGTGGCATTTCATTACACTCTAGAATCTATTTTTGTTTGTTTGTACACAATTGCTTTCTAATTCATATTCTGCACATCCAGTACAGGTATATATACATTATATATGTACATATGTACATATGTATGTGTATATATATATATATATATATATATATATATATATATATATATATATATATATATATATATATATATATATATATATATATATATATATATATATATATATATATATATATATATATATATATATATATATATATATATATATATATATATATATATATATATATATATATATATATATATATATATATATATATATATATATATATATATATATATATATATATATAATATACATACATATACTGTATATAAACACACACATATATATACACACATTTACACACACATCCATATCCATCCATCCATCCTGTAGAGTATGTACAGAACTTAATGCTAAACTTGTTGAAAAATTACATCTAATTACTGTAATTAAGAGTTGCAGATTTGCAGTGCCCGGAAATGATGGAATTTACTGTACTGTATTTGGATGACAATCTTTGATGCTAGAAATTGGATTGTTTTTATCTTGTTGTGATTATCTTTTGTTTTAGTCGTGGCTCATACACAACATGTGAAAACTCAACAGACAACATTCCACGCTATGGTGGAAGCAATGTGGTTTATTTTTGTTGGATATTTAATGGAAAACTTGCTCAAGAAAGTGTATTCCATTAATCAAAAACAAAACCAAAAAATTCCATCAATTCTTTGAAATAGTCTCCTCCTACCCAACATTATTAAGGTAAGGATAATTTCTTGTCTAGGGTAGGTTAGGTAAGGGTTCTTTGATAAATTTATTTCATTTTATGGTGAAAACCATCCATAGTGTTCCTACACACCACTGTATGTGTCCCAAACACCACTGCAGGTGTTCCTGCACAACTGCAGGTGTCCACACCAATGCAGTTGCCTCAGATACTATTGCAGTTGCCTCAGACACTACAGCAGGTGTCTCAGATACTACTGCAGGTGCCTCAGACACTACTGCATGTGCCCTCACTACTGCGGGTGCCTCAGATACTACTGTAGGTACCTCAGACACTACAGCAGGTGTCTCAGATACTATTGCAGGTGCCTCAGACACTACAGCAGGTGTCTCAGATACTATTGCAGGTGCCTCAGACACTACAGCAGGTGTCTCAGATACTATTGCAGGTGCCTCAGACACTACAGCAGGTGTCTCAGATACTATTGCAGGTGCCTCAGACACTACTGCGGGTGCCTCAGATACTACTGTAGGTGCCTCAGACACTACTGCATGTGCCCTCACTACTGCGGGTGTCTCGGACACTACTGCAGTTGTCTCGGACACTACTGCACGTGCCCACACTACTGCAGGTGCCTCAGACACTACTGCAGGTCCCTCAGACACTACTGCAGGGGCCCACACTATTGCAGGTGCCTCAGACACTACTGCAGATGCCTCAGATACTACTGCAGGTGCCTCAGACACTACTGCACGTGTCCATACTACTGCACATGCCTCAGACACTACTGCAGGTCCCTCAGACACTACTGCAGGGGCCCACACTATTGCAGGTGCCTCAGACACTACTGCAGATGCCTCAGATACTACTGCAGGTGCCTCAGACACTACTGCAGATGCCTCAGATACTACTGCAGGTGCCTCAGACACTACTGCACGTGTCCATACTACTGCACATGCCTCAGACACTACTGCAGGTCCCTCAGACACTACTGCAGGGGCCCACACTATTGCAGGTGCCTCAGACACTACTGCAGATGCCTCAGATACTACTGCAGGTGCCTCAGACACTACTGCACGTGTCCATACTACTGCACATGCCTCAGACACTACTGTACATGCCTCAAACACTACTGCTCGTGCCTCAGACACTACTGCACGTGCCTCAGACACTATTTCAGGTGTCCAACACCACTGCAAGTGTCCCTAACTGCACTGCAGATGTCTTACCCACCACTGCAGATGTCTTGCCCACCACTGCAGGTGTCCCCCCCACACTACTGCAGGTCTCTCACACACCAGCATGCTCTGCATGGTTCAAACCCAGTATTTGATAATTGATAAAATAGGGTAATCACAAAGAAAATGTTTCATTAGTTAGCCTTAGATCTCTGAGATTTCTCAACACAGAATCAAAGCAAAGCAGCAGCAACATTTATTAAATTACTAATTATTTTAGAGCACAGCGTAGCATTAATAGAGAGCATTATAATGGAACGTAAGTTACATAACTCATGGTGGGTCAGAAAGACTTGGCAACAGAACATAAGAACATATGAATAAAGGCTACAGCAAAAGTCATAGTAACCCATATAAGGCAGCTCCTGTTGATATCAACATAAACTCATTCATATATATATATATATATATATATATATATATATATATATATATATATATATATATATACATACAGTGGAACCTCGAGTGATGAGCGCCTCAATTTACGAGCATTTTGAATAATGAGCGCGTTGATCGCTGACAATTTGTCTCAATTGGCGAGCGCTCGTTTGAATAATGAGAAAACCACAGGGTGCGTTCCCGCTGCTTCTCGCACATTCTCGGACACTTCCGACGATGCAAATAAATTTTTTGTTTTGTTTAAAGATGCTAATGACACTGGGATGTAAAGGGGGGACTGCTGTGATGTTGCAAAGCATTGATGTTTTTTGTAAAATAAAAAAGTGAAAAATTTGAAAAAAGAACAAATGTCAAAAAGGTTCGTTCCGTGTTTGTCAGGTAGGCTGCTCCATGTTTCTTAAAAAAATATAAAGAAACAAAAAAAAATGAAAAAAGAACAAATGTCATTAAGATTCGTTCAGTGTTTGTCAGGTAGGCTGCTCCATTATTAATAAATAAATGAAAAATACGAAACAAATTGAACACATTTGAAGTAAAGAAAGATTGTCATAATGGAGCATCCTACCCGACAAACACTGAACGAACCTTTTTGACATTTGTCCGTTTTTCAAATTGGTTCCATTTTTTTTTTTTAAGAAACATGGAGAAGCCTACCTGACAAACACAGAATGAACTTTTTGCTATAAAAAATGAAAAAAAAAAAAATTGAACAAATTTGAAAAACGGACAAATGTCATAACGGTTTGTTCAGTGTATGTCAGGTAGGATGCTCCGTTACAGTATTTAAAAAATCAAATATCATATTGATGTTTTTCAGCGGTGGAATGCATTATTTTTATTTCCAATATGTTAAATGGGGAAATTCGTTTTGAAAGACGAGCATTTCACATGATGAGCACGGCGCTGGAAAGGATTAAATTCGTTATTCGAGGTATATATATTGTCGAGGTCACTCGACAATTTGTTCCATAATTGAACAACCAAGTGTTCACTACACCAAGGTGCCTGAATTTATTGGATGAACTTGGCACATGGCATAACTACATTAATATTCTATTTATTTTATTTCTGACTATTGCCTATATTGTAATAGTAAAAATTAATAAAAATACATCATTGTGTATAAATGATTTACTGTACAGGAGAGAAAGCTGGTAAGGTTATCCTTGGGATCTCTGAGTATATGAACAACTATCCTTAGTGTACATGCAGGTGCTGCTCCACACAGTCCAAGGCGGGACCAAAGAGCCAGAGCTCAACCCCCCCAAACACAACTAGGTGAGTACAGTTGATAGACCCAAGTGTTTGAGCAGGTCTCTTGAATGCTTAAGGTGGCTGTTACTCCCATGCTGATTGCAGTTAATTGAGACATTAAAATATTTGCACATCATTATAATACAGTAATTCATTGTGTCATGGGACAGGAAGCCAGTGTGTATTCATACACATTAGGCTTATATCGAGATCCTCGCCCATCCTCTTCCCACCCCCCTTGCCCAGGATGCAACCCCACAACATGCTGACTAACTCCTGAGTGCCGACTTACTGCTAGGTGAGCAGAGGCTTTAGGTGAAAGGAAATGAGTCCAACCATTTCTGTCCCGCCCGGGATTCAAACCCGGAATTCTCGACTGTACATTGAGAATGAACTCGACTGTACTACAGGAACCTGGATACTACTATAGATCCTACTGGAACTACTATATTTTATAGTGCCTCTAAGTCTAAGCCTCTAAGTAATACAGTATTATAAATCTTCATTTAGGCCTATTTTATTTTGCAGGTTTCTTCATTTAGAACTACAGTATTTTCTCCTGCAGGTGTCATTTTGTGTTTCTTGGCTACAAAATCTAAGATTTTTTTTAAGAATGAATTGCATGACTGTGAGATATTAGTGTACTGTAATTACTTACTATACAGTATTTTAATAACTCAATTTTAAAGTACATGTACTGTATATATGATTGTTAATATTTTGTATATTTCCTTGTGTGTAATGTAGATTTTTATATTAAATATATCTTTATTGTAATACATTCCCTACTTACTATCCTAATGTTTGATCCAAATGCTGTATTGTATTTGGGGGTGGGAGAATGTAAATACAGGTGGAAAAGGTTCATCCACTGAAAAAATAGTATTGTACCGTTGCATCCTGCTTGAATTCTGCTATATTCAGCAGCTTAATATGTAAATTATTTGTGGCCTAGGCCATGGCTTGAAAATGAAATGAGAACCCTGCAATTTTACGACCCCCTTCAACTACCCAATAGATTGCCACTTCCCCCTCCAACTACATGGTAGATTGCCCTATTCCCCTTCAAAGTACCTGGTAGATTTCCCCCCTCTTCCTTTCCACCTACCACTTAGACTGCCCCCCTGTACCCCTCATACTACCTGGTAGATTTCCCCCCTCTTCGTTTCCACCTACCACTTAGACTGCCCCCCCTGTTCCCCTCATACTACCTGGTAGATTGTTCCCACTCCCCCCTCCAGTGTCTTTGCAAGTGGTTGTCATGATCCCTGTGTAGTATTTATCCTGCAGCACCCATGGGTAGAATTTATTTGGCTCTACCCTTTGTGTCATCGCATGCTGCAAACTGCTTACTCTTTTACTGTATTTCCTCCTTTGTACATCCCTTTTCTCTGTTTTGATGACCCACAGGGCCGTTGAATGGGGCTTGTGATGCCCCCCCTCTTCTGGTGTAAGGATAAGGAATAGACTAAGAGTGTTTCTTCCGTTAGTGATAAGCCCTTTGATCTGGCTCTTCCTATTAAGAAGTGATGCCAAGAATGTAGATACAATTAATGACCTCATTGATATGGTGATTGAGAAATTGTTTATTAGTCATTCCTCTTCTGTCATGAACAATGCATAGCAGCTCTTTTTGAGCTGATTTGCCTTCTATACTCTGGAAGCTTAGCATGCTTTGTTGCAAACACTCTGGAGTCTTTGTTGAGTTCTCATCATATTTCCATGTTATGTTCTGTTTGACCTTCACTGATCATGTTGAGTTTGGTCACATGGTTATTTATTGTAATTTTTCTTCTAATATGACTATGCACACATTTAAGCTGTGCTTTTACTTTGGAAGTACAGTCCAGTTATGTTATTTTCAAAGTACTACTTGTCTTCTTGTTTGGACATAATCATTCCTTGCTGTATTCATTGTGGTTCACTTTAGTCTTGCATTTCCTATACTGTACTACTTCCATACTTTCTTGCTGAGTTTCCGGCTGTTTATGTTTCTGTTCCTTGTTTCTCAATGTGAAAATGCTTCAGTTTTGCTACACTTGATGGTGAGAGTTTCATACCTTGCACATTTTTCTCTAAATTCTCTGCACACTTTAATTTGTACAAAATTCAATGATCTGCATCTTTTCTTTCTTGAAATATGCCAACCTCCTGTTCTCTTTCCTGTCTTTTCTTTGGTTTCCCTCTGTTCTGTAGTTAGAGATCATAATGGTTGTTGCTCATTGAGAGTTTTTACACTCTTTTGATATCCACCTCATTTTGGAGAATATAAGGTCCTTTCTAGGAGATAACTTCCCTTTAACCTCTTTGCATGTCTTGTCTCTGTGGTGATCTCTTGATTCCCACTTCATCTTTCTCCATGAAGAAAGATGAAGTGCGAAGTTTTCTATATCTAATAGCTTGGCTTACAGTCAATGGGCTGTTGTTACTATCACCTTGAATACCTTGTACAATATTACATTTTTCTCGACCCCCTGTGTGTAGAATGTTACACCAATTAGCATAGCAACCGGATGTGCCAGCCATGTCTATTCCATGACCGGAACATCTCTGTCGTTATATAGAGATTAAATAATATTTTTGTCATAGCAATGTGCATAACTACCAGATCACACCTTTAGCATCTGTGGGTAACTGTTTCAGTACTTGGACAGTAGAACGTAAGGTGAGATGTACTAATCTTTTAATTGTGAATAATTGGATGTGCCAAATGAGATCAACCTGATGGAGGGATTTCAGTAATGAGGTTGGGTATTATATATGAATTTTATTTAAATGATGTAGTGAAGACTTTACTGGACATAAAGAACCGAAATATTAAGAAAAAGAATGTTTCATGAATAGTCTGAGCTATCAGTAATAACTGTTTATTAAGAATATCTTAAGTGTAGCATACAATGGCAACATATAAGGGCTTCTCTTTACTTTATTGAAGTGTCACAGTGAAAGCTAGCCAACCAAACAGAAGGACAGTGGTCCATCTGAATGATGCTTGGGAGTTCATACAGATCTTGGAAGATTTCCACGAGAATGTCTCCTAGACCTGAACAACATCATATGACACTCCTCAGTATTGCCCTTAAATAACACTGCAGTAATTAATGAAACATACAGAAGACATAATCAGGTCCTCAGGAATTCAACAGTGGTCATGCATATACAGTAGATATTAATGTTACATAAATAATAGGTGGAATTATGCACATACCTCACACTTAGGAATGTAATTGAGATAAATTATATTTCTTTACCTCAGTTATACTAACTGAGGTAAAGAGATAAGGCATTTCACAGTCCCTTATTTTCTAACACTACACCTGTATAGATGTTTATCCAGTAAGCTTGATCAGGCAATCACTTTAGATGCCTCATCTGAGATTTTATAACATATTCGAGTTCTTAGCTGAAATTGGAGATAAAGTTACTTTTACTCCTGCTCTACCAGTCATACACAAACCTATTCATCCAAGTCCTCCTGTTCTGTACATGTACATGTACATTGGTAGTACAGACTGTCAATGACCATAGGTTTGAATGTTTTTGCTTTTGTTTCCAACTCCTTTTTACTTGGAATGTAATGCCACAATTCCCTGTTTAATTTTTTTCCTTATGATCTGGTAGCCTCTGGGGAACGTGTTTATGATTGTCTACGATATCTTTCTTCCACTATTGTTATTATGTTAGGATCAGTCTTACTGATCAAAGACTAAATTTAGTTGTAAGGCGAAACAGTGCTGGGTGTTGGTAGGAGAGGGGCTGATTGAACAGAAGGGAAAGAAGGATGAAGGCAACATGGTAACAGGGGTCTGACGTAGTCTGAAAAGGAGAGGAAGAGGAAGGGAATAGGATGGAGGAGGAGAACAACACTCTAAGTGGAAGGGTAAGTACTTGAAACAGGCAAGGAAGAGGATGGAGGTTGGGTAAAGATAGGTAGTGGAAGTGGGACAGGTAAAGGGCATGGGAGGAGGGTGAGACGAGTTGTAGGAGGGAAGGAGACAGAGAGAGAGAGAGAGGGGAGGTGGTACTAACGGAAGAAGGAAACATTAACATAGGAGGGGGGTGTAATAGTTGATAGAGGGAGAAGTAGGTGGTGGTAAGGCAAGGGATGAGGAGGGGGAAATGTTAAGAAGAGTGTTTGTGCTGGGTGAATACGTGCCCAAAGCACACTGGATAAACATAGGTCATAAACATGCTAGGGGACACTGGGGTCCAGAGCAGAGTGAGTGAACAATAGGGTCTTGAGTATATTGAATGAAAAGGCGGAAATTTAAGCATGCCAAGTGATTACTATGTGAGACTGAAATTGCTCGGTGAACACTGTATGTGCCTGTATGTGTTTGCAGGGAATATTTGCTCATGTGTTCTTTTTCTCAGCTGCTGGTCACTATGCATTGCAATAATGCAGCCCTTTTGCTTTTATCAAACATACTCTTTAAACTACTAATGTAAATAACCCAATGAACTCTTCTGTCCTAATCTATTTACCCACTAAATTTCTCTGGTTCATCCGAGATTTTAATTTCCAACCATGCCTTCGCAACCTACCCTATGCATGCTCAACATTTTGTTTACGTCCACTTTGTAAGTGCCTCTAAGAATGCAATAGTGTACATTGTAAACATGTCACCCCTGCTTGCTCATTTTTTCATGTGTAATGAGGTCTAGCGCTCTGCTTTTAATCATAGCTCAGCCATCTTGGTTCAGGGACCAGTCTTGACACTAATCTCTGGATTATCTATAGGTTTGCACTGGGTGCTAGGTTGGGATTCCACGCAGGTTACATTTTATAGCACAGGTATGATAACTATGTGGTCCCTAGCATGCTGGGTGAATGGTTGGGGGAAGGGGGGGGGTTATATTCTGAGCATACTATGGGCTCCTGAATTTGCTGAATGAACACTGTGAGGTCTTGAATGTGCTGGGTGAAAATTTGGGGTTCCTGAATGTGCTGGCATGGTAGATTCATGTGCAACAATGTGTTTTGGTTGCAATATAATCAAATTTGGATGCATGCTGAGGTAGGAAACAGCTAGGTACCTATGCCCATTGATTATCTTCTGTTCAAATCTACATTTAAAGTACTGTAGGCCTACTATACAGGTACAGCAAGGATTCATACAGTAAAAAATGTGCTCCAAATTGCATAAAGTTTAACTGCTTTACACTCTTAAACCAATCAAAAGTTAAACCTCAATCTACCTAAATGACAGGTAGGTACAATGCAGTTTTGGCTTGTGATGCATCGTATGACAGATAGTTTTCTTGGCTGTTCCGTTTATCCTCATTACTTTCACTCAGTTGGATCAACACCTCAATAATTTTTTCATGTTTGTTTTCAGGTGGTATTTTTAGAAATTGCATTGTTCTTTGGATGGACTTTAAAGTTGTGTATGTTTATCATATAGTGCTTATTATAAACAGCTTGGGTCGTGGCCATTTTTAGAACCATCCGCAGTATTTTTTGTATGGTGTGTTACTAGGTACAGTAGAGCATTGTCGTTTACACTAGAGCTTCGTTATTGGCAATATTGGTACATTATCTTCAGTGTTCAAGTTTTCTCTGACAAAAGTTTCAGTCAGTTCCAAGATGTTATTAATTGTGTATTACTGTGCAACTCTTATCTCAGAACCTTTGTGTCATTCACAAATTCACACAGGGAGAGAGAATTACACAGCAGGCTTCAAACTTCCCTTTCTCGGCACACCTTGCTTGCCTCATTCTCGGTGCATCCTCTGCTAGGCTGCTCGGGTAAAAATAGCTTTTCCAATTAGTCAAATACTGCAATGAGATTAGCACTATAACAGTGGTGTGTTAATTTTGCTTTTATGATTAAAGTATAAAAAGTCTTATAATATTTTGCACACTAACACGTATTGTGTCCCCATAATAAATAATAAAAAGAGTACCTTATTATACAAAGGTACACCATTTGTTGTTCTTATAACCGATATTAATTTGAAGATACAATTACTCTGGTTCATTAACTGTGTTAAAGTTGCTGGTGAACATTCTGGTCACTATATATATATATATGTAGAGAGAGAGAGAGAGAGAGTTTTGCTTGTGTTAACATCTAAAGATTCTCTTGTATTGCAGATCCAGGAGTGATCTGTTTAAACAAAACAAGTAGCAGTTTAACGTATCAACAAACCAACTATCCAGAGCATCAGTGATGGTCAGTGAAGTGGCTGCTTTTTGTCTTCATGTCATATATATCATCATGTAGTGAAAGGCTCTTATAGGCCTCCTTCACACCTTTGTGCAATTCAAATTTTGTTTAAAAAATTCATGAAAATAATATTGCAGTAATAAAATTGATAGCACATTATCATTGAATTGCTTGATGTAGAGATGCTGACATAAGTAGCTATTTCTGAGCCTGTACTGCTGTCTTTTAAACACCACTGTTATGTCACACTGGTTTGGAAAATGACTAAATTTGCATGTGCTGGTAGCATATGTCTTTGGTTTATTCATGTATATTGAAGTGGTACAATAGCACAGACAGTGAAAAATGTGAGACCTGGAGTATAATTGGGTCAATAGCAATACTTCTACAATGATTTGGATGACTGTAAAGAATGACAGATGATAGGCTTATGAGGGAAGTGTACAAGTGATGGTACTCACGGACTGAGATGGCACGAGACTTACGAGATGTGGGGTAAGAGAGTAGGTACTGTACAGAGAAATTCAGTACTGCATAGTGGCTTGGATATTTCGAGATAATTTACTGATGCTGGACTTGTTAGGAAGATGAAACTTGCTGTGATGGGTAAATAACATGAGGTGTATTTGAGAGACTAGATGATTGTGTATAGATAGGGCTCCCTGGAGGCTTTTGTTATGGTTATCTGCATGTGAGGGAAGGGCGGGGATCAACATATCAGAGATACAGGTAGAACATGTGTTTTTCAAATATGTTAAAAGACTGGGTATTGATGTATGAGGAATATCTTTCATCTGCCAGCTTGCTTGATAGTCAAAAATTGTGTTACAAAGATAGATGATACTGTAAGTGTGTGACCTTTTTCTTCAACACTGGTGAGGTTGACTTTTAAAGCTCATTACTTAACCGAGAAGTATTATAAAACATTATTTTTCCCTTAGTCTGATGAAGCATTCTTCCTCTTCCTTTTTTTATTATTGATGATGTTCCCCACACTGTGATGTGTGGCTTCACAGAACGCCCTTCTCGCTGGTTCATCCCTGCACGGCCCTGACAAAGAAGACTCTTGGGTAGGAACCATGCATTTGTGTTTTAAGACACATAATCAGGAGATGAACTTAAGTTAATCAATCATGTTGAGCAGGTGATCTGCCAATATGCTCTGCATATAACGTGCTTGTGTTAAGTATGCTCCTTTTGTGAATGTTCAGGGAATCGCCCATGTTTTCACAAAGAGCATTTACAGTACCGTATAAACTGAGCAACATCACAGAAGGTGTCAAGTCCTTATTGCAAGCTTTAACAATTTGTTGATGAACTTCAGTGCGTCTCTTGCATACATGATGGCCATATTCATGTGACATGTTCCTAGGAGCAATTGGCTTTCCAGATATAGGACTTTCTAAATACTGTATGGCTGTTCAAAAGCATTTCCAGAAGGACATGAACTTCATTATGGACTGTATCTATGTACTGTGATTATAGTACTCTAGTAAGCCATTTCTTCATACGAAATGTTATCAAATTATAACATAAGCTCGACCTTTTATTTTGGGATTCAACATAGATGTAGAGCATCTTAATTTCCCACTGTGTCTGCATCTTTTTAAAGGTTTGATGCAATTGCATTTCATTGCTTGATGCTTTTCAATCCATTTTCCAGTCATTTTAACAGAATTTAATGATCACTTGAGTTGCATTAATAACCCTAAATATTGCATTAACCTCAAAATAAAATTAGAGCATAAATACAATACAGTACCTTCTTGATTATCTGCAGTCTTTACTTGGTTCATCCTATGGATAATGCATTTAACAGTGTATGTTAGGATTTATTATGTTTATATTAGGATTTATAGTTTTATATTAGGATTTAGAGTTTATATATTAGGCAGTATAGTGTGTATATTAGGCGCTATGTGAAAATCTTTGCAGCATGATGGGGACTGAGCCAGCATCCTGGTAACCCCAAGATGCATGGTAAGGTGAGTGAAGGTGAGGTATAACTGGAAAAGTAAAGATTGATAACTGAGCTAAAGGCAGCTCCCTACAAGATTAAATAAAAACTAAACAAAGTAAGCAGAGAAGGAAAGGAGAGTAAATGTGAAAGTAAATAAAGCAAAAGAGAAACAAAACAGAGGGGACCAAATTAGATATACAAGGAGATAGGAACAGAAAGAGGTAAGAGAGCATAGAGGGACAGTTAAGTAAGCCAGGTCATGCTTGCTAAGGAGATGATTTACATGAGTAGGTGCTTGCTTGCGTTAGAACACACAAACACATATTACACGTCTTCAAGGATTAGAGGGGAAAATATACACTATACAATCAATACTCTTCATTCACTATACTGTAAAATATCTTACATATTCACCTTCATTATTTGTTTGTTAAATTTAGCATTCAATGTAACTCCTTTACTAATACATGTATGAATAATCAATTGTGTAGGCACAGGTAGCATACAGGGAGGATTGCATTTATTTAACAAAGGAAATGTATCATTTTGTAACATTTGTCACATGAATATGGCTATTTTATGAAACATATCCATGCATGATTTTATAATACATCTATCTTTACTTTTAAATTTACCTTTTACTAATATGGCAAATTGTATAACAAGATTTCTTATTAATTTTGGAGTTGCCTCAGTTGGTAAATTTCTGTTGTGAGAAAATGTTAATATTAATATAAATACAAATTGTAATATTAAAGGAAAATAATTCACGTGGTTTTCCCCGAAGTATAATTCCCATAAGGCGTGTTCTCATGCATTCAAAAATGATTTTTGTATTTTAATAACAATAATGGATATTTATCTTATTACATTATAATTAATAAACATGCTTGATTTTTTAATTAAAATTTCATAGTGCAATTTGAAATTGAGCCTGAACTGTGCCTTTTGGCCTGAAATATGAGAGGTGTTACATAGGCGTTAAGAATGGTACTGTTGCATCGTGCTTGACTCTATGCTTTTGTATAGTGTAGTGTATAATGCAGACACCAATCTTGTCCTCTCCAGGGTAGTAACAGAAAGCACATGAAGTATTTGAATTCATTAATGATCTTGCCTGCATGGATACTAAACAAAGTTTGTCACCCTTTGCCTTAACAACTGGAGGGGATTGTTTTCTCAATTATATACTCTTAATTCTGTGGGTTCTTATTGCTAATCATGATAATATGGGTTATGCTGTCCAAGTATCTTCATACTTGTTCAGGTAATTTAAGATAATTTTGTGCATTTCATATTACTGTACATTATATTAGTAAATATGTACCAGTGGCAGTTATCTAATGAAAGTGCAGCTCTTTGTGAGCTGGAAATATTGTAAGTACATAGAATGTTTATTCAAGTGAATAACACTTATGCAGTGCCAGCTATGTAAGAGAATAGATTATGTGTATACTATACAGTTACTTGCACACACACACACTTGCTATTTTAAGACTGGTGTTTTCCTAGCTCATCCATCATTATTATCTACACACCAGACACAATGTCATATTGCTATTTCATTGTATTTTTTAATTTGTCTGGTATATCATCTCTTTTTTTTTCTATCCTCATCATTGATCATTATTCACCACATATTTTGTTCTTATAATTTGATCACTAAGAGTTCATCCAGTATATTATAATTTAAATATTTTTACAATGTCTGATAGTGTAAATGAATGAGATAAAAGCAGAACTACTAGTACACCCTTTGACCAGGAGCCCCCGCTCTCACCACCACCGTGCGACATTAGTGACGATGAGCTAGTCAGCATCAGTGTTCGAGACCTCAACCGCCAGTTGAAGCTGCGCGGTCTCTGCCGAGAAGACATTATTAAAATGAAACAGAGACGAAGAACTTTAAAGAACCGGGGATATGCTGCCAGGTTAGATAATAAACTTGAGTTTTTTATGAATCAATACTTTTCTAGGCACCTCAGTAGCTCTTCTTAGCTTAAGCACTGACTGTTACTGGTCAGGCTGGTTTATGCCAGGTACCAAGGGGACATTCTTTTCCTACCATGGACAAGGATCTATATATGATCTCTGCTCCATGAATGAAGGATACGAGACACTCAAACTCCGTCTGAAAAATGTTGAAAAGTGCCAAATTGCCAAAACAAAACTGATAACTACGAATCATGGGATCACCATGACTTATTCCATTCATGAATAGGTGACAAGCTCACTTCCTGGTCCAGGGGCCAGATTCACGAAGCAGTTACGCAAGCACTTACGAACCTGTACATCTTTCCTCAATCTTTGACGGCTTTGGTTACATTTATTAAACAGTTTACAAGCATGAAAACTTCCCAATCAACTGTTGTTATTGTTATAAACAGCCTCCTGGTGGTTCGGAGCTCATTAACTCTTTAATAATTATAAACAAAGCCGCCAAAGATTGAGAAAAGATGTACAGGTTCGTAAGTGCTTGCGTAACTGCTTCGTGAATCTGGCCCCAGGTGATGAGCCCACCTCACTCTGCCTACCACCTGATCTGTGAATGCCTCCTCATTCTCACCCAGCTGGGTGCCTTCTTTTGATAATTCCTCTCTCATTCCCATGGAGACTGGTTGCTCCTATTGCTAAGTGTTTGATTTTACCTGATCTTTCGGTCGTGGACAGGGATTATATACTCTTTACATTTCATAAGCATGTACGCCATTCACATTGTGTCTTTGAGGTTCTGCTAGTGTTGTCGCTGATGAATGTTCTCCATCAGAAATATCTTCTCTGAGAGAGTCCATTCCTCTCCTGGGTGAGTCCTGTTGCTTTCTATTTGAATGGGTGGTACATTTGACAGACACACCTCTGTCTTTTCTCTTGGCTTGGCCTTCTGACCTCTTTGACCGGCTTTCTTAACTTCCTGGGACTGTCTTACACTTGGTTTGGTGGCTTGGTTATCTTGAGGTTATCTTGAGATGATTTTGGGGCTTTAGTGTCCCCGCGGCCCGGTCCTCGACCAGGCCTCCACCCCCAGGAAGCAGCCCGTGACAGCTAACACCCAGGTACCTATTTTTACTGCTAGGTAACAGGGGCATAGGGTGAAAGAAACTCTGCCCATTGTTTCTCGCCGGCGCCCGGGATCGAACCCGGGACCACAGGATCACAAGTCCAGTGTGCTGTCCGCTTGGCCGACCGGCTGTAACTTAATGTTTCTCTGCAAGCCATGTAGGATTTTGTGTTGTGGGCTCTCTTCCTTCTTGGCCAGCTGCCTCTTGTGTGGGTTTGGCTTTGTCATATCTTCCTTGTCTGAGGCCAGTGCATCTGCCCAATCCATTTTTTTTTAGTTTAGATTGCCTTCTGTGAAAGTCCCATCTTGCCTATTGAAGAGGCTTTTATTGTGCGTCGGCAGGTTCCTCTTACGAAGCACATTAGGGATGAATCTCAGGGTAGTAATGAGTGGTATACTCAGAAGTAGAACATTCATTGTAAATATTACCCTTTTTCTGAGCCTGGTGGCAGTAGCTTATATTTCCCATTCTGCCTTTTCCTTTTTCTCCCAAGTCTCTACTGTGTCTGGGGTGGAGGGTAGGATATACTCATCCCTGGATCTAGGGTGGAGCAGTAGATGGGGCAAATCAAAGGTATTACTTATTTAGCAGGGTGTTTGGCATTTCCAAAACATTTCTAGAGGGAGTTTAGTTTCTTGTGGCCTCCTTTCTTTACATTTAATGGCAGTTTTCCCAGTAGTAAGTTTAGCTGATCATTCTGTAGAAGGGGCAAAATAAGCCTCTTAGGTACCTGATTCTATTTGATCATATAATGGATCATAAACTGTACAACTTCAATAGATTTACAATCTGCACATATAAACATGTAGTTAAGGATGCCACAGCTTGTGCTCCCTACTTTCCTCTGTTGAGCATTTTCTGGTAGATCGCCAGAAGTGTGTTAAAGGGTTAGATAAGTACAGTATAGACTTGAAAACAAAACTTTGCATATTAAAAATTATTTCCAGTTAAAAGAAAAAGCATCTGAAGGACATCAGTACTGTATTTCAAATCTGTAACACTGAATGTCAACAAATTTCATTACCACTAATACTTTCACAGTCTGGCCCCTCTCTGGATCCTGCTCAATGGCATGTAAAACTTTTATACTCAGTTTCCCCTTGTTATTTTTTGGGTTATAATTATGAATTTAGAGTCAAAATGTTCCAAAATGATTGTGTTAGAGAATAGATTAATATAAAATGGTTAAATTTTTGGATTATATTATTATGCTTTATTATCACATAATATATGAACTTTAACATAAATCCATTTCTTACTTATGTATCATAAATAAGGAATATGGATATGTTTGCAATTAACTGATGCATATAGCTGTAAAAAAAGCTATAATTACTTTGATACTTTTTAGGTAGGTAATTTGGACAGTGATGAGAAAATGCGTAGATATATAATGCTTATTACTGAGGTGATCTCAGGCTGGTCTCCGAGTATTTTGGTTGATCATCCTGATAGGCTCTGTCCAAACTGTGCTCATGTATTTCAAGAGTTTCATCTTGAAAGTGCAAATAGAATGGTTAGGGAAGTTATTTTCTGAAATTCTGAGATCAGGTGACATGTTTTAGTCTAATTAGACCACTTATACATACCATAATTCATAGCTCCAATATTTGGAAATACAGTACAGTTAAAAATACAAAATAACTCGTACTATAACTCACAAATGAGATGGTGGAATATACAGCAGAAAAATGTACAGATGCCATGGAAATGTTTATCTCACTGAAGGAGGAAATTGCTGAACAGTGCGGGATAACCCCACACCACCACATCATAGTGTCACTGCCATGCCATTACCTGCCACCCCCCATAGTACCCTGTGCTTGTTACAGCAGCCTGTAATCATATTATCATCATCTAGTACTCATTACAGCAGACTATGATCATTACATCTTCTCTACCTATTACACTAGTGCTTGTATTATGAGATTTACCAGCCCATGTTCTCTCCCCTCAGTGGCCATGATCAAAATATAACTACAGCAGATTGCATATATTGTATAAAATGACGTAATTTTATTAAATTAAATTTTCTTTTACGGGGCCAAGACTATATATATTTTCTCAAATTCTGATAGGAATTTTATTTGTTAAAATACTGTACTGTACTGTAATTGCTAACTGGACACTACATTTTCTTGCAGTTGCCGCATAAAGAGAATAGAACAAAAGGATGAGCTTGAGTCGGAACGGACAACAGAACAAGTCGATATTGACAAATTAGTACTTGATAATCTAAATATGAGGACAGAAATTGACAGACTATATCAGAATTATGAAGCTCTGAAAAAATTTGCCAACCAGAAGAATATTCCTCTTCCGCCAGACCTGGAGGCACTGTGATCTTTACTTCGGCAGCAATGCACAAGTTTCTCCACTAGTGGTCCATGTTCAAATGGGCTCTCAGGGTATTTGGTATAACTGGTCAGGTGATGTTTGTGAGTGTGCAAAGTCTGAAAATTTTCTGTACATTTAAATTTGGTAGTTTTGATCTCTGGTGTACGTGACACATTTATACAAGGATCTGGTGCTCTTATTTGCAACTTGCTGCCCAAGATAAAGATATTGTGTAAAGTACAATGTTAATGATGTTAAATTGTGTTTATTTTCTAGAAGTGTTAAGCAGTACAGGAAATTCAGTACTGTGTATCTCATTTTGTCATGTTACGTTTAGGATGTGTATCAAGTTGAGGTCTTCTGATTAGGTAAGAATTAGTTGTGTTTAACATTTCTCTTGATGAGGCATAATCGAAGTTGCTATAGTCATATCTTGTATATTAAAACTTGGTAAGATATTTATTTGACTTTTGAATTTCCCTAATATTTTCTTATTTTTGGCAGGTATAAGACTTAAATTTTGCTGGGTTCCCAGCCATATTGGGATCCCCCTTGAATGAACTTGCTAACGCCACTGCTAAGAAGGCCATTCGTATTTGCAACACTTCCCAGAAAGGAGTTTCCTATTCCGATTTCTACCCGATCATTCATGTCATACAACCAATCATTGGCAGAATCATTGGGCTGGCATTACAGGTAAAAACTGCGTGCTATTAAGTATGACCTTTCCCCCCCGTGTCCTTCCTCCTGCCACTGTAATAGGCATTGGGAGATGGCTCTGGTGAGGTTGCGTATCAGTCACATCCGCCTGACTCGTGGACTGACTGACTTAATGGAACAACGTCCTGCTCCCCTTTGTCCTAAGTGTGTTGTTCTGTTTATAGTCTCACACCTCCTTGTCAATTGTCTAGATACTAATTGAAGCACACTGTTTTTATAGGCCTTTTATTCTGTTTTATCACTTTCTTTAAATCATATAATCCAACACAACCCCTCCTCCCTATTTTTATTGCTGCTATTAGTGATAATTGTCTTCAAACCCATGTCTCCTTTTACCCAGCAGTCCTAATTTAGGAGATACAGTTCTCTTGGATCATAACTACACACTATAATTCCAGCCCATCATCAAAACAAAGGGCTTTGAGGTTCACAACATACAAGTCAAATACTGAAGACAAAAACTCTACATAAGTCAGTGTTTGGACTTATAGTTCACGTAGCCATGTTCAAGGCTATGATATGAAACACGCTTCATTCACTTTCAGCCTGTAAATACTCCCTAAATTAACATAACCTAAAACACCTCACCTAACCTAGCCTATACATAAACCCACAATATATAATAATATTAATTCATGTTTCAGAAATAATGTTTGTTATTGTACTGAATTGAAGATTCATTCTGTCAGTTGGGTGTCTTGTGAATAAGTAAAAAACTGCACTTAGTAAAAATTAAGTCAGTATATGACTTATTGCTTAGGCTGGAAGATGGGTTGCATAATTCATTCACAAAAACTGTAACATATTTTGGGCACATTTCATTAGGCTTCTGCCCTATGGCAAGCTGAGGGACTTCAAAGGCCAAACTCAACTGCCCTCCAGTCTTTGGCCAGAGAGTGAAGAGACCACTTAGCCTTCCTTTCCCTTCCACAACAAAGCTCTGCCCTTCTCTTGGAGCAATATGTGGAGATGATACTGGTTTAAACCTGATCTTAATCATTGAAGTAAAATGGAAATGGGCCTGAAAATATACAGCATAAGAATCATAAATATTCGCCTAATTTAAAATTGTTGTTATATTTTGATAACTGCTTAATGGGGTTCTGGGAGTTCGTCTACTCCCCGCCAGGCCTGACACCTAATGGTTCACTATATATGACTTCCCATTGTTGGGGATTGGAAGCCTGTTAGATTTACTGAAGCTTGCCAAAGCTAACTACTGACTTTTCCCAGAATGCAACCCACAATAGTTGCCTAACTCCCAGGTACCAATTTACAGCTAGGTAAACAGAGGCATTGGGTGAAAGGAATTGTGCCAAACTGTATATGTCCGACCCAGAGATTAAACCTGGGACCCTCGATTGTGAGCCGAGGATGTCGACCACTGCATTACAATGTAAGCTTGAAGAATAATTAAGGTGGCCATTTCAATAACTGTGGGATAATTACACAATATAGCTTGCTACATAAATTTTCATTTGCCAAATACATTCTGAATTCTTCTATTTCTTTATCATTAAATGAGTACAGGAAGTGAAAAGGTACAAAAATAGACAATGTTTATGAAATGGAAGATTAACTTGCTTTAGTCAGCCAATCAGGGACTTCAAAATCTGTATCAAGTTAACAGTCTAAATCACTCTGGATTGTTAACATGTATCACAGCAGCTGTTACTACTCAACCATGAAAAAAAAGTGTTCAGTCTTTAAATTCACCTCATAAAATTGTAATAACTCAGTTGTCAAACATGAGCCTTCATTAGCTGACATAGGCAGGCCTAAAGTGAGTCGATCTGTAATGAGACTGTGAAAGAACAAAGACCAAGGCAAGCACAAGCACTATTAAAGTGCTGTGTACAAGTGGTGGTAAAGAGAGTTATGAGCACAAGTGGCACAACATCCTGCACAGGCTTGTTACAACATTTAACACAGGTGTTCACAGCATTGCTAAAGACCACTATGTTCTACACCCTAGCTGAAGACCAGTACCTATATAGCTGTACTTATGAATGCCACCACTTGGTTGCACTGGGCTGCAAAGCCCGGCGAACAATTAGCACGTTTTACACAAGACATGTATTACGACACATAGAATCATGACATCATACACAGCTTCAAGTTCATGTTACATAGAGCATGCTTGTACTGCCTTATAACACACATTATATATGTATTAAAACACCAATACTCTACTGCCAATACTGTTGCCACTCAATCGATGTCATTGCTCAACGTTGGGTGTTAAGTGGGAGGTGGACGCTTCAGCTCTGAAGTACGACACATTTACATATAAACATTTGGTATCACCACAGAATATATACTTTTCATATGCAGAGTAGACAAAAATATTGTATATTTTCCCTTATACTAAAAAAACAAACACCCCCTAGCTAATCTAATGTACAGGTTTCCATTTATTCCTATCCAAAATTACAACACTGTATGACCTCTGCCAGCAGAAAAATCTTTATTCCTGTGTTGCTAGAAGATAACAATACTGGATATGCTAGTTCCTCAAAACTATTGTTAACGCTTAATGTATCATAAAAATGGAAGTACACATTGACATATAAGCCCCCTACTTAAACACCGCCACCAGATATACTGGTATATATATATCGCAAAATACTACTCTTATGCTTTCTTGATGCATTCACACTCAAGTTTTCAGTTTTACTTATACTGTGAGCATAGTTCACTAATGATAGGACGTTGATTGTAAGAATTACATGTAAATCTAAAAACACTTTCAGTGCTTTACAAAGTCACATCAAATACACTTGTGTTGACACCTTAGTGAGCACAGCATAATGACAAAGGCCAGACACTCACGATATAGTCACTACAGTTAATCAAAAATTAACTGTTCACCAGCATATTATACCTTTCTTAGTATGTTACAACTTAACCCTGATGTACACGACAACCAATAATTTCCTTTTTAATATATACTATAGATGTGAGTATTTGTTTAATTAAAGCCTGATCGTAGATACAGTATATAATAGAACTTGCAATCATAGGTGTTGCGTGTCATATGTATTGTGCTGCATGTAGGTAATGTACTGTATGTTGCATATAGGCATTATTGTATGTTATATGTACAATGTGTTGTATATAAGTATTGTGCATTACATGTATGATGACAAATATAGCAATTGTGTATTGCATGTACTTGAAAGTAGAGTATAGTGTTGTGTAAATATATCTAGTGTTGCACATGCATCAGGTGTTCACATGTTTAAGTGTCTTATTATTCATAAGAGCATTTAGCTACCTTGAGCCGTATACACATGATGATTCCTAACCACACGGAACATAAAGCCAAACGGAAAGAAGTAGGCTGTTCCAAGGAAACTCTCTCTTGGTTACAGCCTTGTAAGGCCTTAAGACCTTGTAAGATCTTACTTACAAGGTCTTACCTCTTAGTTATGTCATTGTTTTCTATCATTATCACATATGTACTTATTGGCTGATGTTTTCAGAAGCAAAATAGATACTGTAATACCAATTTTCAGTAATATCGTGCTCTAACGTAAATCAATAAAATACATTTACAAAAATGTAAAAAATGCCAAAACACGTGGTCTTGATGAATGACACTGAAGAGATAATTCAGCTACAGTAATACAGAGGGGGGGCAGGCACACGGCATATTTAAGGTAATTTTAAGGTAGAAGAGAATGACCACAAAGATGGGCAGACATTGAATATGAAGAAACAGGGATGCAGTGTAACCAGTGCAGGAGAAGATGTGAGGAACAAAGCTAGGTGGAATCAGTTTGTGAAGAGCAAATGATTTGATATGTTTGTAAATGGCAACACATGGGGAGCTTTATATATTTAGCCTTGCGAAGTATTGTAGTGGGATGTGGCTGTAAATGATATGCTGAAGGGTGGTAGTGTGGAAGATATGTTGAATGGTTTGGTGTTGTGTGTACTGTATCCCCAATCTTTTCCTATACTGTTCCCCTATCTTCTCCGAGCTGATCCATCCCCCCCCCCCCTCCCATGAATGAGATTTCCAGTTGTTAAGACTGTTTGATTTGTCGAGGTAATTCTAGGCCAACGACTAAATTTTCTCAGGATTTATCCCACAACAGTTGTTCAACACTTTGAGTACTGCCAGATGAACCGAGGCATTGTGTGTATGGAAACTTGCTTTCTCGCCGTGTCCAGGAACTGAATCTGAGAGCCTTAGTTGTTAACTAATGGCACTGATCACTGTGTCACATGGAAATGCTTCCACAGTTATAGACAACAGAGTAATTATAGTCCTTCCATTCACCTGGGCTGTATGGGTCTCAAACTGTGGCCCCCACGCGTGTGAGGCCGACGCTCTATCGACTATAGTAATCATAGTATTATACCTGTATTATAAGTCACATGTCTGAGTGAGAAGTTGGAAGCTCATTACATCTGGAGATATGCTATTGAATTATTTTTGTGAATAATGGATTAGGTAAAATATTTGAAATACTATACTGTATTCCATCAACTTTTGACAGACCATGATTAAAAATAATGGCCAAAGTATCAGCTACAACAATGCATGTCTTTTAAAAGGAATACGAATGATTATCACGTATATGCATTATCATCATTACCCAGTTTTTAACATTCATGTGGTGTGGAGTGAATGAGTCTTAATTCACCCCCCCCCCCCTATTCTTGCCTATCTTCAAGAATGGTGTGTGAAGGTGTAAATTCAGAAGATGGGGGAAGACGTATAGAACAAGAATGTCAAAGATGTTAACAATTACACCCATTCATTCACTGTATCCTACACAACTTCATGAAGATCTAGCACAAATACTCTCTACCAAGACACAGCAGTGTTCCACTCTTTATATATAGTATAAAAAAAAAAAAATTTGATTAAACATGTTTAACTTATATTTTTCTAACTCCTCATTCACTGTATTTTTCTGCTTAACTAATCTTTTCACTTTGACATTTATTTCTCACTATCTTTTTGTCAACAACAACAACTACTATACTACCATTTCCTCATCCTGCTTCTCATGCGTCTGCCATTGTGTGCAACGCCAAACATTCCATTTAAGCACTTCATAAGCATTTGAAAAAAGTTTTGCCCTTTAAGTCACAGAAATAATCACTACTGTACTCATGAACTATCAGAGGTAAAGTGTTCTTACAAACTCAAGTGGTACAACAATCTTGTCTAGTTTTCAGCATATTTAAATTTTATGTCATCCTACGTGAAATCTATGAAAGTGGATATAGAATGTTCAGTTTTACATTATTCGGAAAATAATTATAACGAGGTTACACCCTTAACTTACAGTTTCCACATATACTGTAATTGGCAGAGTATGCAATTTTGGACCAAAATGTATGAATGTTGAGGGGTAAGGGAATGCTATGTACACCAAAATTATTACCGAATGAAAATTGTAGTACAGTAATCACTATAATCTTAATAATGCTGCATAATATGACTAGATGATTAAAGCAGTTAGTGACAATTTGTTACAACTGCAGTTAATTGCATAGAAATAATTAAATTATGTTGAATAATTTCATTTACACTGATAAAGACTGCTGCCCGCTAAACAGCATTATATCTCACAGTGTCTTCTAAACAGCACCAGCTTATATGAGTACATATGTTTTGTGTCATCTTTGTCAGTGAGTACATTATTGTGAACTTTATTTCAGTAATTGCTACTGTTCATGACTTGAAGAGACTTGACCACATCTGTCAAACAAATTACAACTGATACTTCACTGATTTCATGTGATTGTAAATATACATTTTTATTGTCTACAAAAGATCAAAAAGTTTTTGCGATAGTACAAACGTACAAGTTGGTGTGAGGAGCACCACGTACAGTTCTGTACAAGTTGGTGTGAGGAGCACCACGTACAGTTCTGTACAGCACACAGTGAACAACAAGCTAATGCTCCACTACATACATTCACAGTAAATCTAATTACTACATAATAGCTACAGCATCCAGCCTGTTGGCCTGAACCTCAACAATGAACAATCAAAAACAATATTGCTCATTTTGTTCATTTCAATGAACAAAACGAGCAATATCATTTTTCCACATGTGCGATCTTCTATATTAGAATTTTGTTTATAGTTTTTAATGTTTTGACAAATGTTTACTAGTGTACATAACTGCTGTTGACACTAAATAAGGTTGTGGAATTTCTAAGGCTTCATAGTTGTAAAGAAAGGTCAAGAAAATTATTATACATCTGGAGCTGCCATGTCATTATGTTTGACTACAATGGTAAAGGGTGAGAGGAGAAGTGCAGACAGGCTGTTACTCCTCGGTGCAATGTATATTTGTGCATCCTGAGAGCCTTGTAGCACGTGGCTACCATAACATCTTAGAGCGTACATCAAGAAAATAGCTTTAATGTGTTAAAAAAATATATTCTTGTAACCCTTTTTAAATTTAGGCCTTCCTGAAAACTAACACATATATATATTTATATATAAATCACACAATATACAAGGCATAGACTCAAGGGCAACATTATCATTATGGCTAAATGATTGTAGAGGAAGGTTAAAACAACGGTTGTACACTTTACATCAGGTTCAACAAGATAATTGCTTTACCTCCACTATAAAACTGATTTATACACCACTGAGACAATAAGTAACAAATAAATAAACTAGAAGTCACAATAACGTGGCTAATGTATGTTGACCAGACAACACACTAGAAGGTGAAGGGATGACGACGTTTTGGTCCGTCCTGGACATTCCAGGACACAATCGACTTGAGAATGGTCCAGGACGGACCGAAACGTCGTCGTCCCTTCACCGTCTAGTGTGTGGTCTGGTCAACAAATAAACTAGAAAGTTATCCGAAGAGTATTTGGGAGTCACAGCAGGATGGGAGCACCAGCACCATATTCTTCTGCTTAAGTTCACATTTCCTGCAAGTATACTAATGCTCCAAGTTTTATTTATTGGCAATTAATGTACTGTAATTTTTTTTTTAGTTTTTTTTTACAGAAGGTATAATGTTAGTGCATTGTAACAAAATTTGGCTTATAACTTTGAGTTATCTACATCTAAATGATAAATAAATAAACTTATTCAGACAGATATGACTTGCACAGTATTGACTTATAATAAGTATGCTTAATAAGTTACACTTGTTCATATATGGAAGATCAGATGATGGGTGAATTATTATGTAAACAAGTTTAGACATTTCCAAAGTAAGATAACTCGGGAAGGTAGTCATATTTACTGTCTTCATAAAAACATTTTCTAGATTTAATTTTATATTTAACTACATTACTTAAAGAGTGATATTTGGTATCACTGAGCAAATAAGAGCTCTTTGTATTTTGCTGTACAGTGATGCTCCCAGTATTAACATGTGGTTCATTTCCATTCCTTTAATTAAGGTGATCACAGTTGCTTGTCACCTCGACCAACACAATAACAGAATTTGCATATTTGACCCACCTAAAATTCCTTCATGGAACAACCTTTGTATCTTCCAAACTGCTCTACTGTGTATTGTTGTAATTGTTAGAGCAATTTTGTAAGTATAGATTATAGTGAATACTGATTGTTGCATTCTCTCTCAGACATATTTCCTTACTTTCTTCAAGGCATTATAGTTAATTTTACAGAAATGCTTTTCTAGCTAGATCAGGCAAGTTTGCACACAACAACTTTGTCGTGCCTTCATGAGTATTTATAGATATCTGTGAATGTGTTATACTCAATTTGAATGTCCGTTGAGACATAACCAACCACAGGCAAGTAGGCCTCTGACGTCATGCCAGACAGACAGTCACCAGCCATGCTCCCAGCAGCCTCAGTTCTCCCGACAGACTCAGAGTAGGTGGACCTCGGCTGGCCAGATATACACCTTGTTGTCTCGGTCAATAAATATACAGAAGTGCCTACTGTGTCTACATTCAACCCCGCAAGGCAACGAATAAATGTCACTGGATGCTGAGGAGCCTCGCTGAAGTTGGTTTACCCAACTGGAAGCTCTCAATCCTTGTGCATTTAGTGATAACAAATATATTACTTCAAGTAATGTAGTTAGTGCAGTAAATATAACCAATTGAAAATCTGATAATTTTTCCTTAATACATAATAGCTAAAGTGCCAGCAATTTTGAACTGTTAAGACAGTAATAAAAGCAAGCCTCAAGATCTGCTGGCAGTCTTAACAATGTGCAGGTAAATCTTATTTGAACACTAAGAATGCAGTTATATTACAATTTTTTTTATCTGGGGAACCTTCTAACAAAGTAATTATAACTCCTTTTGTGAATGCCTATGGCCACAAAAGTCTAGGTGGATGTAGCAAACAATATCAAAAGCCAAAGGCAGGCATGTGTAGGAACATTAGGGCACTGTATTGATATATTCAGTGATACACAATGAAGAATTCTAAGAGTGTAATATGGGTGGTGTGAGAATGTAGGTGTCAAACCAGGAGTATAATGTTAGTAAGGGGTAACTTAGGAAAGGGAAGGAAGTGAAAAATGTCGGGGAAGGCGGAGCTGCAAGGCTTTCAGACGTACAGCTCCCAAGAGTGGAAAGGTGGGCAGCTTTAATAACTCAAAATTAATCATAGAAAAATGTATAGGGGCATTCAGGTGCATAATTTACATTAATTTATTTCAATTGGTCTGCAAATGTGATTTCCAAACCTACAAAAGCAGACTGATGAAAGTGGCTATTAATTGTTAATTTTACTGGATCACATAACTAAAATTGTTCACTCATCAAAACATGGCATGAAGAGCTTGATCATATAGATTAAACTAATCATAAAAACTATAACAGCTTGAGAAAAAGAGCAGAGATATGGGCTACTTATAACCCTCATCTTCATAGTGTAAGTAGTAAGAGCCTCTTTAAAAGTCTTGTGAAGACCTGTTGCATGTGTGTCTGAGAGATCACCATCAGACACTTCTTTGCTCAGGTGACATTGTCACATCTTCCACGAGATGTTAGAAAACCAGCTCAAGTGTTTCACACACAACCTCACCTACAACATACAAAGATAAAATCACATAATATTAATTTAACTTTAAGATGCATGCAATTTTCACTTTTTTTATTTATATCAATATAAAGTAATAAAGATAATGATATACTGTACTGTTTATCTTTAATTTTGGAAATTATTATAAAATAGTGTACATTACTATAATGTATATACTGTATTCATAATTACTCTTCCTGCCATGCAGTATTTTAATTTGTACTTATCTGAGTAGTGCTTACGTTGAATTGAAGCAGTTGAGTGGTGTTGGCAGCGTGCGGGTGGGTGACACCACCAGGTTGAAGGGCACACTCTCCATGAGGGGGTACCACTGGGCCACCGGTCGTCGGGGACACTCCAGCATCTCTAGCCAGTGGTCACGTCCGGGACCAATCACCTGGGAGCCAATCACCGCCACGCCAAGTAGTTCGTTGGCACCGACCCTGCACACACAACATGTAGCCACAATGTAAGTCATGAGTGTGATCAGTCTACATGTCTAGTATTACTACTTTTGTAGACAACAAACTGACCTTTTCCAAAGCACAGTACTTACTATATTCTGGAATACTGTCAAGTGTCAAAGTGAAGAAATACATCCAGTAAATATTAACTAGATGCATTTTGTATACTGTACAGTACATCTAAGATATGAGCTGTAGAGATATTCTTACAATGTATTTATCATAGTAAAGAATATTTTTATTCTTAATAAATGAACCATTTGCCATTCTTCTTATATTAGTATGTACAGTACTTAAATCACCTTACAGCCAACACACAATAGATCACCTTACAGCCAACACACAATAGATCACCTTACAGCCAACACACAATAGATCACCTTACAGCCAACAAAGACCCTTAGGGTAACACCACCCCACCTATGACCATGATCCTAGGGTAACACCACCCCCACCTGTGACCATGACCCTAGGGTAACACCACCACCACCTGTGACCATGACCCTAGGGTAACACCACCCCCACCTGTGACCATGACCCTAGGGTAACACCACCACCACCTGTGACCATGACCCTAGGGTAACACCACCATCACCTGTGACCATGACCCTAGGGTAACACCACCCCCACCTGTGACCATGACCCTAGGGTAACACCACCACCACCTGTGACCATGACCCTAGGGTAACACCACCACCACCTGTGACCATGACCCTAGGGTAACACCACCATCACCTGTGACCATGACCCTAGGGTAACACCACCCCCACCTGTGACCATGACCCTAGGGTAACACCACCCCCCACCTGTGACCATGACCCTAGGGTAACACCACCCCCCACCTGTGACCATGACCCTAGGGTAACACCACCACCACCTGTGACCATGACCCTAGGGTAACACCACCCCCCACCTGTGACCATGACCCTAGGGTAACACCACCCCCACCTGTGACCATGACCCTAGGGTAACACCACCACCACCTGTGACCATGACCCTAGGGTAACACCACCCCCCCACCTGTGACCATGACCCTAGGGTAACACCACCACCACCTGTGACCATGACCCTAGGGTAACACCACCACCACCTGTGACCATGACCCTAGGGTAACACCACCCCCACCTGTGACCATGACCCTAGGGTAACACCACCACCACCTGTGACCATGACCCTAGGGTAACACCACCCCCCACCTGTGACCATGACCCTAGGGTAACACCACCACCACCTGTGACCATGACCCTAGGGTAACACCACCCCCCACCTGTGACCATGACCCTAGGGTAACACCACCCCACCTGTGACCATGACCCTAGGGTAACACCACCACCACCTGTGACCATGATCCTAGGGTAACACCACCCCCCACCTGTGACCATGACCCTAGGGTAACACCACCACCACCTGTGACCATGACCCTAGGGTAACACCACCCCCACCTGTGACCATGACCCTAGGGTAACACCACCACCACCTGTGACCATGACCCTAGGGTAACAAACACACCTCTACCCATGACCATGACTATAGTACTGTGACTACAGGATCGCAGAGCAACACTCGCCTGTAATCTCATGACAAGAAACACACACCTGTCATAGTCGACCACCTTGACAAGAAGGGTGACGTCTTCTATGCTGTCATTAGGGATATCAAAAACAAGTGCCTCATTGTAGATAGGGTTGAGTGTCGACTTTTTCACTGTGGTCTTCTTCTTCTTGATGCGACGCCCATGGCACAAGAGACACACCTTCACATACGGGTCTGTGAGGGAAACCATGGCAAGTGATACATAACCCTACCTGAACACCTGTTATCAAGCAGAGAATACATACACTTTATGATGATGTTTCACAGGAAAAAATTAGATGTAATTGAGATTGAAAGTATTAGTGCTTATAAATAAGATGTGATGTGAAAGTGGGGCCAAGGTCAGGCATGTGAGAGATCATGTAGTTAACAATTTGTATTTTTATAATAAAAATTAGGCCATTGATAATGTAATATTAAACTTTCCTTCATCCTTTTCAATTTCAATGAGGACTGACCTGAGGAACTGGGGATTGACCTGTGGACCTTGGGTCTTGTAAAACAAGTTAGGGACTGACTTGAGGAGCTGTGTATCAGTGTGAGGAGCTGGATATCAATGTGGGAAGCTAGGGACTGACCTGAGGATCCAGTGATGTCCATGGCTCTGAGGTTCCTCATCTTGATGACGGTAACAGTGAGTCGACCAGCAGTAGGCAGGTAGCAGAGGCTTAGCATCAATTCTCCGAGGTCACGACTCTCCTGCATGGAATAAGTACATTTAAGGTCACGCTCACCAAGGTCACGGCTCTCCTTCAGGGCATATGTACAGGTAGGGTCTCATCTCTCCTGCAGGGCAGGACTAGTTAGTCATAACTCTCCTGTTGGACTAAGATAAACTAACGGCTCCAGATCTGCAGACCACAAGTAAATTCAGGGTAAAATCATCCTATGGTGTCACTGGTTTTGTGACACAAATTTTATGAAATTATTTGGTTTGCAGAACTGATCAATGTTAAAAAGCACTTTGCAAATATTGACAGGAGCCAGACAGAGGCATTATTCATAACTACTTATACAAAACTATACTATATTGGGGGTGACTAAACTGGTGGGCAACACTAAGTCAAGCAATTTTAGTCACAAATTTAAAAACGTTTAGCTCAATTTGAGTTGTGAAACTGGAACTAAATACTCAGAGGGAGACACATTGTCATAAATGGTTTTATTTAATAATTCACTGACAGAAGTAGAGTCAAGTCACAGGAAGTTGTCATCGCCACTCTGTCTGCAGTCATACAATAGAGAACACACACCATAATTATGACCTCTACCAAACAGTACGTTGTAATTGCCAAAATTCGGCTGGGATGTCAATATGCATGTAATGAATCCCACCAATAGTGAACATTACAATTGTAAACTATGTGAACAAGAGCTAGGACATTCTAACACTATAACTGTGATTACCCTGTTATCAATGATTTCAGATCAAATGGTATGATGTACTTTGAGCTCTGTAACTATTTCATACACTCATGAATACTGGAAGATATGCTTGTGCTGTACCCTGTGTTTACTAGTGCAGGCTAGTAGATTAGACTCGGATTTCATGTTCTCTCCTGAATCCAGTATGACCAACCATCCTGTGAGATGGGGATACTAGATGAACTTAATGCTAGTTTCTGATTCACAAACTATAATCCTTCATATAGAATAGGGTAGCAGCACATTGCTGTGTATACTTAAGCTTGTTAAAATAAAAGTAGTTGTAGAGCGCTACATCATCCAACTTAATATCTGATCTTGTCCCTAGAGGATGTAGCACTTTTAGTCTGTCACCTATCCACTGGCCAAAAAAATGAGCTCCACAGGTCACCCTCAACTGCTCCCCAGGCCGCCAGAGCACACAATCACCCCGCTCCCCCTCACGGAAGGGTTCAGAGAAATTGAAAAGCAAAGTTTTTAACTACCAATTATTTACTTAATCATATAGATCAAGTACATAAACCTTAATATGTTAGAGGGAGCAGGACAGAAATGACAGGTGTACGGCCCTCCCTGGTGGTGGGTATTGGGCAGGTGTGTGTGTGGCTTTACCCGATGATAAGTGTAGGACAGGTGTGTGACAACCTAATGGTAGGTGTAGGACAGGTGTGTGGCCAATCCTGGTGGTGGTGAAGGCAGGTGTGTAGGACAGGTTTTTTTTATTATTATTTTCTACCACAGACGTGGCCACACATTTACAATGCTAACCAGCATATATACATTTTCTTCTGTCCTCCCCAGACAGGGTTAGAGATGTGTGTGGCCCACACTGGTGGTGGTGGTGGGCGATGTCTGACATTTAGGCTGGAGGACCTGAGCCAAGGCCAACCTTCCCCTCCACACATCTCTCAATATGAGTTCCCATTAACGACCATGCCGAGGCCGATCAGTGTGCAGACATTACCTTCAGAGGTTCACTGTCTAGAGCCGACACCACCACCATTTCCTCACACGCGACATCTCTGTTCACTCTGTAAAATGTAGCTGAGGGCGTCTTTCTCTTTGCTGCCAACATGCCGCTCAAAACCACTCACTTTCTCCCCCTCCCTGTCTAATTAGCACCTAAATTGATTGCCAAGCCGTCAGCAAATTTTCTAAGGCCATAATTAGAAGTCATTTGTGTGTTGGGAAGCGGGAACTGGCGAGGAAATGTGAAACTCAAACCCACGTTATTGGTCTTGTTACCATGACCAACACGTGGGTTATATTTTATTATTATTATTAATAAAGTTAGGTAGACTCGCAGTGAGCTGCTGCCGTATGCAGTATGAGGGATTACAGATTATAGATCAAGAGCCAGTTATATTTAAGTTCGCCTAATATTTCCATCTCCCAGGAAGGTCAGTTATACATGGAATCAGAAAACACTTTAGTCTGCTAGCCTGCACCAGCAGGGTAGAGTATGAGGATATCTTCCAGTGTATATATACTAATAAATATTTAATTAAAATTGTGAATATTTGTTTATTTCCCTACAGACTAGAGATAGGCTAGAAGAGTCACACAAGATAAGATCTCACAGCTGCACACACTAGTACCTCAAACATAACCACAATGCTTGGTACATTACAAAGCTTCATACACACATACATTTATATACCAGAACTAACAAAATAAAAATGAATTCAGGCAAACCATTCAAACTTGTGTTATCCAACTTATTTATTCTAACTGAGGATTTGCTGATGACATGAGCCATACCGCCCAGGGCATGGCAACACCCCACTCTGGGCATGGCAACACCCCACTCTGGGCATGGCCACACACCACCCTGGGCATGGCCACACACCACCCTGGGCATGGCCACACACCACCCTGGGCATGGCCACACACCACCCTGGGCATGGCCACACACCACCCTGGGCATGGCCACACACCACCCTGGGCATGGCCACACACCACCCTGGCAACACACCACCCTGGGCATGGCAACACACCACCCTGGCCATGGCAACACACCACCCTGGCCATGACCACACACCACCCTGGGCATGGCCACACACCACCCTGGCCATGGCCACACACTAGGTATAACACCTGGCCCTCCACATCCCCCGCAAGTCAGGTTAAGAGTCTCATTAACTTGGGTCATCAGAGATTCGAATCTGCGATAATCCCAGGGAACTGTGTGTTATTACCCACGCTATTGTGGACTTAATCTCACGAAGTAAGTGTATATTAACTGTTGGAGCGACCAGAACACTGAGCCAGTACTTTGTGCTCCCACGTGACGCACTCTCCTCTCCCTCACTAGAGGGCAACACATGTGGTGGGAAAGTTACCGAGGCGATGAGTATAGCCACAAGGTCGTCCTAGCTGGCCTTGCCAGCCAGGGCTTCCAGTCGTAATTACCCGTCATTACCGGTAATTAACCCTGAACTACTGCCATCCAGCTCATAGCTCCAGCCGTTGCTAACACACGCTGGGGGAACAGCCTGAGGCAAAGCAGGTGAGCTTAGTGAGGTAATTTACCTCAGTCATTAACAAGGCCAATGTTTACCATCCCAACTATCAGCTACAACTTTAAAATATTTGTTTTAATTCCCGTTCTCAAGAACAGGAAGCCTGTGTTACTTCACATATTTCTGCCCGAAACGCTGCGCGTACTAGTGGCTTTACAAGAGTGCCATTACTGTACTATGCTATGTATTCTCACAAACCCAATGTACCTTCTTGTATATAAATAAATAAATAAAATATATTTTAGCAGCATATATCCATGTTCCCCCCAAAGGTGGAACTGCCGACCCTTCCCAGGATGCCACCCACAACAGTTGTCCAACTCCCGGGTACCTATTTATTGCTAAGTGAACAGCAGCATTAGGTGAAAGGAAACGTACCCAACTCTCTCTATCCCAGCCGGGGATCGAACCCGGGGATACCCCGCCATAGGGAAAAAGGGGGGTGAGGGTGGGGAGAGGGTTGTCAAGTTACATGACACCTTTGTGGTAAACATTTGCAATACGATAACTCTCCCAGACCCATCTATCTGCCTCTGGGAAGTGCATCACATGGTCACCATGGCAACACTCTCTTTCTACCCGACCTCGTGGTGCCTCTAGTGCGTAAATGGTCACACACACACACACACACACACACACACACACACACACACACACACACACACACACACACACACACACACACACACACACACACACACACACACACTAGAATATGCAGCTGTTGTGTGGTGCCCATATCTTAAGAAGCACATCAACAAACTGGAAAAGGTGCAAAGACATGCTACTAAGTGGCTCCCAGAACTGAAGGGCAAGAGCTACGAGGAGAGGTTAGAAGCATTAAATATGCCAAAACTAGAAGACAGAAGAAAAAGAGGTGATATGATCACTACGTACAAAATAGTAACAGGAATTGATAAAATCGACAGGGAAGACTTCCTGAGACCTGGAACTTCAAGAACAAGAGGCCATAGATTTAAACTAGCTAAACACAGATGCCGAAGAAATATAAGAAAATTCACCTTCGCAAATAGAGTGGTAGACGGTTGGAACAAGTTAAGTGAGAAGGTGGTGGAGGCCAAGACCGTCAGTAGTTTCAAAGCGTTATATGACAAAGAGTGCTGGGAAGACGGGACACCACGAGCGTAGCTCTCATCCTGTAACTACACTTAGGTAATTACACACACACACACGGTTCAAAGGTTTGCCACCAGACTAGTACCCGAGCTGAGAGGTATGAGCTACGAGGAGAGACTACGGGAATTAAACCTCACTTCGCTGGAAGACAGAAGAGTTATGGGGGACATGATCACCACATTCAAGATTCTCAAGGGAATTGATAGGGTAGATAAAAATCTATTTAACACAAGGGGCACACGCACTAGGGGACACAGGTGGAAACTGAGTGCCCAAATGAGCCACAGAGATATTAGAAAGAACTTTTTTAGTGTCAGAGTGGTTGACAAATGGAATGCACTAGGAAGTGATGTGGTGGAGGCTGACTCCATACAAGTGTAGATATGATAGAGCCCAGTAGGCTCTGGAACCTGTACACCTGTTGATTGACGGTTGAGAAGCGGAACCAAAGAGCCAGAGCTTAACCCCCGCAAGCACAAGTAGGTGAGTACACACACACACGGGCAGAGTTTCTTTCACCTGATAAGCCAGGTCATCTAACAGTAAATAGGTACCCTGGACTTGGACAGCGGCTACGGGCTGCATCTTAGGCATGTGTGTCTTAGATATATGACA